TTAACAGTAACACTTCTAGACGTTCTAGTAATTTTGCATCTACATGTCAACTAACTGTCAGTAGAGGATTAGTAGACTGACTGCTTAAGATCTGAAGACCATGCTATCCTAAGTTGAAATTGACAAAATGACAGTCAAAATTGATAAGTCAAAATTATAATGTTGTAAGGCGAAGTGTTTGGGATAAAGCGATTCACATGAATTTATATAAATTATATAAATGAATATAAAAATCGTTTTAAAAATCATTTTATCGTTTTAAAAAATGTATAAATGTTTATAAATTAATATAAAAAATATATAAAAAAATTATATAAAAATTTATATAAAAATCTTAAAAATAAGATTCTATAAATTCATATAAAATTGCCACCTTGTGTTACTTTTTCCCTTGACATCAGGTTGAATAACCCAAAAAAGAAAAAAGATCTTATTATTTTACGAGGTGGCAATTTTTACAATGTGAATTGTAAAAAAAAGTGATGGTGAGGCACCACGCCTAAACATAACCACCCCTGGGCCACAAGCAGATCGTACAAAAACATACAAACCAGATTGAGTTCATAAGAGTTAGCCACTAATTCGCCAAAACGTCGAATTGTAAGGAATTGCCACGCGATTGTGCTCGTCTTTATTGTTGATGTATAAGATGAATGGTTTTGAGGAAACATGTATTCAGCAATCGTTCCATGAGGTCATTCCTGATTTCTTAAAGGAGCATACGACTGTTTTAATATTTAACAGTTGCTCATTCAACACATAAACACAAAACATCTCCTATCGCTCAGACATGAAACCGAGTCGTAACCCCGGCTGACAGACACGTGTGCTCAGAACATTTCCATGAAAACTTAATGTTCTCTGAACATTCAAAACATCCAGTTAAAGAAAATGTTTGGTTATGCAAATTCTGAGGGAACGTTCCATTTGATAATTCCTCAGAGTTTCTGAACGTTCTGAAACAAGTAACATTTAAAAACTGCTAGACAAACATCCATCTGAAGCGTTTCCGAATAAAAACTCTCTATGATATGGTAGCATTTTGAGAACTTTATATTAAAGACCAGATAACTGATCAAACAATCTATTAATACTACTCTCTAAACAATGCTGGGTTGTTTTAACCCAAATGTTGGGTTAAAAAAAAATGTAATTTCAACTTTAAACTGTACTTTTTTTAAATTACATTTTTGGGTTAGTCCATATTTGACCCAAATATGGGTTGAAATAACCCAGCAATTGTTCGAGTGTAGTGGAAGAGCGTTTGTTCAGAGAATCTGGTGTTTATATTCTGCTTTCCTAGAGCTCTGACTACTGTTTCTTGTGTTCAGACGCTGAAGTTAAAACTATAAACAAGTCACGTAACTCATTTATCCACATGCAAATAGAACAAGTATGTTAAAGCTTTGCAAATTTTACTAAACGATTCCACAAGCAAAACTCAAAATTCATTTATTTTTTCTTAATTTCAAAATATCATTGTAAATCAGAATATATAATTATAAAAGAAGGATATATAATTGTAATTCCAGATCCAATTGGATCAGAACGCAAACTCTCAGCCCTCGTGACGTCACACGAGAGAAAGTACATCAGTCTCCTTCGGGAATCGTCCACAGACGTTAAACTGACTGCAAAACCACTCCATCATCAGCGGGCGGACTCCACAGGACAGGACAGGGCAGGTTAGTTCGCTTCATTTTTAATAACAACAAATATGACCGCAGACGTTGGCTCCATGACATTAATCTTGGTCATAATCAGTGCCTGATTATATATAATCTGGGTTATACGATCAGATTTAAAAAAGAATAATTTGAATAATTACATTTTTAAATGCACATAATCATATTACAGTTATTTGTTATTAATGATTACACGTCAATCAGACACATTTCTAAAAAAGAAAAGAAAAAGCCCATTGCTCATTGTTGGGAAAGTCTTCCAGTTTTGGGATTGATGTCTTTGTTGATTATAAAGATAACCTACGCTATCTCACGACCAATTCGTACGAATTCGTACGAGTGATTAAAAAGTGGCAAATTCGTACTAATTCATACGACCTCACTCGTACGAATTCGTACGATTTGTCTAAACCCACGTGATGGTTAGGTTTAGTAGCGGGATTAGGAGTAGGTCATTTGTACGAATTCATACAGTACGAATTGGCCAATTCGTAAAATATGTACGATTTAACAAAAATCGTACGAGTGAGGTCATACGAATTGTTACGAATTACACTCTAAAAAATGCTGGGTTGTTTCAAATATGGACTAACCCAGCCGTTGGGTTAAATTTTTACATTACATTTTTAACCCAACATTTCGGGTTTGTCCATATTTGACCCAAAATTGGGTTAAAACAACCCAGCATTTTTTAGAGTGTAGCCACCTCATAAAATTCGTACAAATTCCCATGAGATTGGGTTGAATAAAACATATTTACTTTCTCTATATATTTTCATATCAATATTGTACAAAATAATTCTATTCAAATCTGATAAATGAGTGTAGTCACAACATTACGTTACATGATATTTGTAATCCGTAACGCACTACAGTTTGTAAGTGGTCATCTTTCACATCTCTGCCTTTTGTCCCAAGATTACAGAGCAATACACGGACGTCTCCGTGAGAGGATGGGGATCATCGAGTGCTGGCTGATATTATTGGGTAACGTAAGACTATTATTAATAACAGTAGCTAAACGAAGACCGGCTCACAATAACTATAACAATAGTTACAATAAAAATCGTTTTCAATATAAAGAATAGCAGAGTCCGCACCACAACTATAACGATAGCAGCACAGAGGAACGATATCACTGTTCTAACTGATGAATATTAAAAACAGCGACAGCCAATCAGAATCCATCCTGCTTTAAAGGGATAGTTCACTTTGATATTAATTTTTGATATGTTTTATCTTACCTCAAGGGCATCCAAGATGTAGGTGTCTTTGTTTCCACAGTATTTTCAATTTTGACATTTTTCACTCAAACCGTTGTTGTCTATCAGTCATACACTGGAGGCTAAGGGGGTCCACCAAAGAGCAGCACAGAGAAGTCCAGATTAAACATGATTTAATGACTCGTAAATTACACGAAACGAGAGGTTTGTGTGACAAAACGAACAGTATTTATATCGTTTTTACCACTTGTAATGATAGCCATGACAAAATGATCTGACGGCACGGGCGCTTCGGTCTGGAAGTGATCGCTTGCGCGCCGACGTCACTCTTTGTTTATACAGAGATTTCTGAAGCTTTACCTTTCACTAAACATATTTAGATATACGGGAAACCACAATGGAAAACGATTTCGGTAAATCTAAATATGTTTAGTAAAAGGTAAAACTTCCGAAATCTCCGTGTAAATATTGAGTGACGTCACACGCAAGCGATCACTTCCGGCGTAACATTGAACTGATTCAGTTCGGTTCAGTTGGACATTGAACAACTGATTCAGTTTGGTTCAGTTGGACATTGAACAACTGATTCAGTTCGGTTCAGTTGGACATTGAACAACTGATTCAGTTCGGTTCCGTTGGACATTGAACAACTGATTCAGTTTGGTTCAGTTGGACATTGAACAACTGATTCAGTTCGGTTCAGTTGGACATTGAACAACTGATTCAGTTTGGTTCAGTTGGACATTGAACAACTGATTCAGTTTGGTTCAGTTGGACATTGAACAACTGATTCAGTTCGGTTCCGTTGGACATTGAACAACTGATTCAGATCACTGTGATCACAAGAGGTAAAACGATATAAATACTGTTGGTTTTCTCACACAAACCGCTCGTTTCGTGTCTTAGGCCATCAGTGTGTTCTTACATTTACGAGTCATTAAATCATGTTTAATTTGGACTTCTCTGTGCTGCTCTTTGGCGGACCCCCTTAGCCTCCAGTGTATGACTGATAGACAACAACGGTTTGACTGAAAAATGTCAAAATTGAAAATACTGTGGAAACAAAGACACCTACATCTTGGATGCCCTTGAGGTAAGATAAAACACATCAAAAATGAATTTCGAAGTGAACTATCCCTTTAAAGTGGCAGACACAGAACTGACGTGCTTATATTAAACAGAATGATATTATGCGCTGGTTTGGGCGCTCGCTGATAGTTATCGTTGTAGTTAATGAACTTAAATGGGTCCTATTATGCCCTTTTTACTAAGTCTTGATTATGTTTTCTGGGTGATTGTTCAAAAAACACATAGCAACCACAGAAGATATTTCAAACTCGACTGACATGTATAGGGATTGTGGGCCAAAACATATTAATCTCATAAAGTGTTGTGCAAACATACTAGTACGTGTTGCCAAGAGCGATTGTGTTTGAAAAGTACCTTTTTTTTTTAAGAAAGGCAAGGTCATTGAGAGGTCCGATCAAAGAAATTATGCTTTTGGTGAAAAAGAAATGTGGTAAAGTTGAATACTTTATTTTTATTCAACTTAAATAAAAGTAAAAGTACCACAATTGAATTGTAGTCAAGAAAGTAGAAATAATGTAAAAGTGTACTCAAGTACTGTAACGAAAGTATTTATGGGTTATGGAAGCTGTTCTTCGTAAAATGTGCAGCATACAGATGAACGTTGGGGTTATAATGTTCAGGAACAGTGTTTAAAATAAATTTGACCAACTCTGAGGTTCATGTTTTGGACACGAGGTGTATAAACTCTTTGATAGCAACAACACAGTCTACACTAAGGTTGTGACTTCATAAGATCCTGTTGAAGCCCAAACGAGTCGTCCGTTGTGTGTCTTGGAAAGTGGATTCTGTTAAATAACATATCTCCCTTTGCAGTGGATCTTGAGCTATGTAACATCGCAGATCTGTTTTTTAAAGGGATACTCCACTTTTTTGGGGGGAAATAGGCCCAGAGTTAAACAGTTGAGTTTTACCGTTTTCAAATGTATTCAGCCGATTTTCGGATATTTAGAAGAACCAGGGTATACAGTTTCTGGTGTCACTGACATCCATAGTAGGATATACTATGGAAGTCAATGAGACCAGAAACTACGGTATGTGGTTACTGATTTTCTTCTAAATATCCAAAGATCCCCAAAATACATTTGAAAACGGTAAAACTCAACTGTTTAACTCTGGGGGAGTGGTAAAATGAGCCTATTTCCCAAGAAAAGCGGAGTATCCCTTTAAGGTCAGACAGCAACATTAAACTAAAGTTAAAAAAGTGAAAAGCATGATGGGATTTATTCTTTAAGAGTAAAAACAACGCAACTCAGAGATCATCAGATTTGTATGGTGATACTGTTAAAAAACTACACTGTAAAAAAATATTGATGGTTTAACTTAAAAAAGTAAGTAACCTGGTTGCCTTAAAATTTTAAGTTCATTGAACTAGAAAAAGTGAGTTAATGCAATGAAGGAGATTAATTTAACCATCAGAAACTCAAAATAATATTTTATCTGAACTAAATAAATTATTTAAGTTGATTTGACAAAAGAAAAAATGTTGTGATTACTACACTGTAAAAAAATATTGTTGGTTTAACTTAAAAAAGTAAGTAACCTGGTTGCCTTAAAATTTTAAGTTGATTAAACTGGAAATAGTGAGTTAATACAATAAAGTAGATTAATTTAACCATCAGAAACTCAAAATAATAAGTTATCTCAACTAGATAAATTATTATAAAGTTGATTTGACAAAAGAAAATATGTTGTGATGACAAATCTTGAAAATATCTTTTACAGTGTAATTCAATCAGCTTGTTAATTTTATTTTTATAATTGAGAAAGTCAAGTTTACATTCATCAAGTATTTCTGTTTGACTTCTGTTCATCAGAGCATGATTCATTGCTGATTTACAAAACAAATCTACATTCATTTGGATGTTCATTTGCCTGTTTACATCCGACTGTTTATTTTATTGATCTGCACAGGGCTGTCGTGTGTTCAGGAGCAGACAGCTGGCGCTAAAGGTAGAGCAACTTTTTACTCTGTTTTGGAACATGTAACAGTACCTATATACATGTAACCAGTGTTGGGTGTAACTAATTACTAAGTAATTAGTTACTGTAATTTAATTACTTTTTCCTTGAAAATGTAAAGTAAGGGATTACTCTTCATTTATCTGTAATTTAATTACAGTTACTTCTGATGTAATTGAGGTAAACACTGTGTATAGATCAATCCGATCTCACAGCGATTCGTATGCATTTTATGAGGTGTCTAAATATTACGACAGCAATTCGTATGAATTATTGTAAAATATGTATGAAATAAGTGTGAAATGTGATCAGACATAAAACAATAGTGGGTTTAACATCAAAATGTATTGTCTGATGCTAAAAAGTATGTTTTTATAATGTAACCTTCTCCACCTTGGTCTGTTTAAGGATAATTCATGCAATTTTATAGTATTTATTTGAAAGAATTAAAACAGATTCATGTCTATCCTTGTATTATTCAGCTGGTTGAGATTGATATGGGATTTTGAAAGTAATTAAATACTTTTTAGAGAGAGTAATTAGTACAGTAATCTAATTACACTGTTGAAGAGGTAATTAGTTACTAGTAATCAGTGTTGTAGTCGAGACCACCTCACTCGAGTCCGAGTCGACACCGAGACCAGAGAGAGTCGAGTCCGAGTCAAGACCGAGTCCATAGAGAGTCGAGTCCGAGACCAGAGAGAGTCGAGTCCGAGTCGAGTCCGAGACCAGTGAGGGTTGATTTCCTAATTTACTTTTATTTACTTAGAGAAATCCTTTTTTTTTTTTTTTTTTTACTGAATTTACTTAGAGTTTAATAAATCAGTTTAGGGTAAAAAGGCCACATAGTAGGTGGTGTTAAAAGTAATTTTATTACAATTTGTCATGCGCAGTTGCGCACTAGAAAATCACCAATCACTGGGCGTGTCAATCAATTTAAAGAAATATTTTATTAACATACATTAATAATCATGAAAAATATTTTGAATTGAACTCGAGTGGACTCGGGAATAATTCCGAGTCCTAAAAAAAAAAATGTTCGAGTACGAGTCAATTCCGAGTCCAAATGCACACGAGTCCATGACAAGACCAAGACCATTAAAATATGGTCTCGAGACCGAGTCCGAGACGAGTCCGAGTCTCGAGTACTACAACACTGCTAGTAATTAATTACTTTTTTAGAGTAACTTACCCAACACTGCATGTAACCGTTTTTTTTTTACAAATGAGTTTTGTCAGATTTAGACGTGTCTACAAAAATTTGACCCATTTTATAGTTATAGGTGTACTTGCACATCATTTGGACCTTAAGATCCTGGAACTTATAGAAATTTTTTAATGAAATTTCCTCTCTCCACATCAAATTAATTGGCTTTTACTAGACAATCTGTCTCCAAGAGGAACTGCCACTCAGTCAACGACACACTTTGGTAAGTCAGCGGACCTCGCCATTGACGGTGAGAAGGATTTCTCCGCATCGTCTGGATCTTGTGCCGTAACCAGTTTCGAGGAAAACCCGTGGTGGAGGCTGGATCTCCAGGCGTCACATCGAGTGAACATCGTGGTCGTCACTTACAGACAGGACTGCTGTCTCGATAGATGGAACGATGTTGAAATCCACTTCGGAGACTCTCTGCAGAACAACGGAAACGACAATCCCAGGTCAGTCGCGAGTAATGTAAGTCTTTAAACCTCCCACCTGGGGAATGAATTCAATGGAAATATACATTTTGTTAACAGTTGCTTGTTGCCACCTACTGTGTAACGATGGAATCGACACAATTGTTTGAGTTACTTTCAAAAGGTAATTTGCTCTATTTTTATCGCTTCCATCAATATTAGTAGCTGCGTTTCCATTACGCTTAAAATTGTACAGATTGAAATTGCGAATAGCTGGGTTTCAGTCACGTGATTATGATGACGCGCAGAATTCAGATGGAGGGCAGGGAGCGAAGAGCGCAATGGACGAGATGGAGGAAAGTCCGTACTGTACTACTTTACACGCCATTACAAGAGAAAGAAATAAACAAAAAAATCAAACGTACGTGATCCTTACGATTTTTCAACTGAATGAATATTTTCCTGCCATCGAGGCGGCAGATATCTTGCAGACATACTTTGACTTTACAAAGTTCGGAAATGTTACACAAACAGTCACAACACATTCTCATCCCAAAAAGTCATATTACTGACGTCTTGGGACGTATTTTGACCATACGTCAATATCCGCCTTTTTAGGGCCCCCTTAAACGTCGGTAGATGGCGATCCCGGGCCGTCATACAAATGACGCTTTACCTTTAACGGTTTAGGTCTGGGGTAGAGTTAGGATCCCATAACCTCATCTACCGACTTATAAGGGGGCCCTAAAAAGGCGAATATTGACGTATGGTCAAAAGACGTCCCAAAACGTCAGTTATATGACTTTTTGGGATGAGACTGCGTTGTCACTTAAGTTGTATTAACTCACCTTTGACGAAGTGATCACTAAGTTACACACTGGCATTTCCCCATTCGGATCCTCCTGACCGCAGACGTAGGCTTGCAAGCCGTTTTTTCAGAGTTTTTTGGTCAATTTCTTGCCCTCATGAACAGCAGCTTTTGGTACACGATAAAAACTCCTCATGGTTTGAGCGATTCAAGTAACCGTAAACGACATTTTGAGTTTGTTATAGTGCTTTCTAGATGCAGCAAATTACTTCCCGCCATTTGCATTTGCAAAGGTGCACTTTTACACGTTATAGTTCGTTTCATTAATGTAAATCATGTAAAGTAAAAGATTGGGTGAATTTGCATGTGTGATCCTGCAGATGTACCGTGATCTCAGTTGATCCGCTAACTAGCGGCGTCACGTACTCCTGCGGTGATCGGGATGGTCGGTTCATAAACGTCCTCCTTCCTGGAAGGATGATCTACCTCCCGGTGTGCGAGGTGGAAGTGTACGAATCAGGTGATCATCAATAATACAGCCGTGTCAGTGTTCGAGAAACATTAGAAATGTCTTTATGGTCGTGTGCAAAAGTTTACACCCCCCTTACAGAATCTGCACAATTTTTTATTTCAACAAAATCATACAAAATGCATGTTGTTTTTTATTTAGTGCTGTCCTGAATAAGATATTTTACATAAAAGATTTTTAGACACAAAAAATAGTTTCAAAAGTTTTCACACCCATGATTCTTAATACTGTGTGTTTGATGGTGTTTTTTGAAAGTTTCTTTAGATTATAGAAAACGATCGGTCATGAGGCTAGCGTTTAAATCCAGCGCTAATCTGATCGACCCGACAGTGGCGGATCAAGTGCTTAAAGAGGTGAGAGTGTGATGTGAGTCTCTACTCCTGTTCTGATGTATTAACATGATATTAACGAGTGTTCACTACAGTTGACGTCAGCGCTGGCTCTGAGAGGAATCACCAATGTGACACTGAGCTGGTCTCAAACTCCTGAAGAAGAAGTGATCCAACGACGAGTCGAAAACGGTGAGTGTTGAGTGAATCCAGGAGAAGCGCTTTAAATTCCCTCAGTGATGTGTTTAACGAGGATGATTTTCATTTCTAGATTCCTGCTAAAGCAGATCTCAGAGGAGGAATGAGCTTCATCATATTCATCATTTATACACTTCAGTTATTCATACAGTGACTACATGTTATCATGAACCCTCTGAAACATGAATGAATACACCAGGAAAAAAAAGGAAAGCAAGCTTTTTCTCACACTAATATAATGTATTTTGATCTTATAGAAAAACACATTCTCTTATATTTCCCCCAAACATATTTAGATTTGTATAATAAATAATATTAAATATGCTAATTATAAAGATGAATGTTTTCTCTCCCTAAAAATATGTATTTTAATGTTATTGGAAAAAAGCTTTTTAATAATAATAATCACAAAAATATAAGTACTTAACACTAAAATTAAACGATTTTTTGCTCCCATATTTCTCAAGAATGTAGATATTTTGAGAGAGCTAGATATAATAAATATTGCCATGGTATATGATGCATCACCACTTTCATTAGCCGTTTGGATTTTCCGTTATTATAAATAAAAGAGTAAAAAAAGAGAGAACAGTGATGTAGATTTATGAGTAAAGATGTAATCTGCTAATAGTAGACATTAGCTCAACTGTTTAATAATGTGTTTTATGTATCATGCTGGCATAGGATTGAGTGGCTGTGCTCGTTATTGTTGATTAGATAAATGGTTTTGAGGAAATATATGCATATTCAGCCGTCTTTTGCTGAAATAGATTCTTAAACCAACATAAAAAGACTTCTTAAACCAACATAAAGCTATTTGGATTAGTTGGAAACTATTGTAGATTTCTTTACCAGACTCTGATATTACAGCTGTTATCATCTACACAGGGTATCTAATAGTGTGTCTAGTGTAATATGTTGATGTGACACGAAATACTTTTGTTTTATTCTGCTCTTCAAAACAATATTAAAAGTGGTCTGGCATCATCAATCTGTGTTTTTCATTTATTTCCCAGCACCAAACCACTGTCTGTCTGTCTCAGTCACTCTTACAAACTAATAATGAGGAATTAGCCTATATTTATCAGCGTTTGTTCATGCAAACCCGCTGGCAATATTAAACAGTTGCTCATTCAACACATAAACGCGAACAGTCTCAGTCGACTGAACCGAGTCGTAACCCCAGCTGACAGACACATGTTCTCAGAACGTTCCCATTAAAATGTTATTTCTGTATATTTTAAAATGTGTATCCCCCAGAGGATAGGACTGATCAGAACAAATAGAAAAGACTAAGATACACAAAGAGCCAAAGACAACAAGACCGCCGTCATCGTCCTTTAAGGTGAACTGACCAATAACACTCAGCAAACTTTGAGCGGGAGACAGTTTTTTTGCCTTATTTGCATGGTTTGGTTTATGATTAGTCATATCTATTTAAAAGGATGGTAAACATAGCATGAGACATTCTATCGAAAACTACTATATACATTTAGCTAAGGCACACCGAGAGGTTTAGTTTGATACCAAGGAAGGTATGTCTGGAAGATACAAAAATATCTTGAATATGAGCGTTTAGAGTTCAACGAACACAACTAGAAAGTCAGAACTAAGCGAATGTGAGGTGGGAAACATGCATACACACATGAATATTTCATACACATTTTGGGAATGACTTATGAGTTAAATGGAAAGAATGTGTGTGTGTGTGGGGGGGGGGGGGTGTCTCTGAGAGGTCCAGCCATGCCTCCTGACAAACCCAGCCATTGGGTTATATTTCTTATTGAGAATTTTAACCCAACGGTTGTTTTTGTCCATATTTTACCCAAATTTGGTTTATAAAACCCAGCTATTTTTATATTTGCAAATCGTTGAGCTCGCCGACGGGTCAGGGTGTTATTGCGTGCAAATCTCGGGGGATTAGCGGACGATGAACGCTTGCCAATCTGTTAGTATGAAAAAGCCAACAACGCAGCGAAAACGCTCGCCGAGCCCAGAAAAATATCTAGCATGCTAGATATCCAGAGCCGTCGCGCGACTTAACCTCAGTGATGTCATGAGTACAGCCAATCATAGCAACGCATAGGTTGAGGACACCAGGTAAATCTTAGTTTTTATTTATTTTTTTTGCATTTTTTCCCTCAGAGCAGATCGTCGCGCAAACAGTGTGCAGCACTAGTTTCTGTCTGATGTCCATATTCACGTGTTGTGTTCTCTTCTTCGCTGGGTATTAGCGCAATATTTATTTATTTATTTATTACGTGTTTTTTTGTGACAAAACGTGGTTTGTAGACAAGATAGAATCGTTGGGTGACAACTCGTTATTTATTTGATTATTTTCAGGATTTAGACCATACTATGTACTGAAACAGCTCTCATTGAGTCACAAATGATTTGCTCTTATCATCCGATCGTGGTTGTATCTCTATGTAGTGCGTTGTCAACTCGTGTAGTGAGTTACCTCCTGTTGTGGATCAATGACGTTGTGTTGTGTGGTGTGAACAGCTAAACAACTTGAACACTCCTGATTTCACTGATAGCAATGTTTTAAAAGCCCGATGTTTTAAAATCATGTAGTGTGAACTAGGCTTAAGCATTTGTCAGTACAACATGCTATTCCTATTTCACTTTATTTGGTTTTTAAGGCAATTGGTTTGCATGCTAAGTCTAGGTAAGTCTAACAAATTCGATTTTACAGTTATATTCTGACTAATGTAGTGTACAAGGGTAACTAATATGCTCACTTCACAGCGTCTCAACACACACGACAAATCACATGACTCATTTATGCACATGCAAATAGAACAAATATGTTAAAGCTTTGCAAAGTTTCCTAAACGATGTCACATGCAAAACTCACAAATTCATTTAAATATTGGTAACATTTAGTTTTATTCCAATATATAGACCTATTTTAAAAAAAATCACAACTATGAACAAGAATATATATTTACAATAAGTTTCATTTGATTTAGGATCCGCAATCGTTATGGATTTCTCTCAGAACAGAAACTCTCAATCCGACTCCCGGCCCAGATTTCCCTGCCTCGTGACGTCACACGAGAGAAAGTACATCAGTGTCCTTCGGGAATCATCCACAGACGTCAAACTGACTGTAAAACCACTCCATCATCGGCGGACGGACAGGACACGACAGGACAGGTTAGTTTGCTTCATTTTTTATCAAAACAAATATGACTGCAGATATCATTGACTGATTAAAAAACTGTAATAAACACAAAAAATCAGCATGCCTTTATTAATAATAACAAACTGTTGAGCCAGATTTAAAAATTAAATTACCTTAAGTAAATATACAATATAGAAATTTTGTTTTCTCATACTTGTTGTTCCATGTGGTCTAAATGTAAATCAATGAAAGAGTTGACTTGACTGACATGTGATACACTTCCAGATCAGGAAACTGCGAGACTGAGATTTTACAGCAATGTTCCTCGAGGCTTCGGGACATTCATTTTTGTCATATTTCACATTTTTGTCTTTTGTCCCAACATTACAGATCAATATAGAACAAGGACTTCTCTGTGAGATGATGGAGATCGTTGTGAGCTGGCTGATATTATTGGGTAAGACTTTCATTAATAACAGTAAAAGAAGACCAGTTTACACCAGGACGATGATTATAACGATAACGACGATAGTTTTCTTTAAAAAAACAGTTGGAATATATAAAATAACAGCAGAGTCCGCACCACTATAACGACACATAGAAACCATATCTTTGGACTCACTTTCACAACGATTCTTGGGGTGAACAGGCCTTAAAAAGTCATTATGTTGAAAACAAAAGACGATATTTTGAAGAATAAAGACTTCCATTTTCCATACTAAAATCATCAGATTTGTATGGTGTTCCTGAATATATGAAACTATAGGCTTATTAAAATGTACTCATTCAATAATTTTTATAAATACATTTATTTATTTGTATTAGAATAATAAAAAAACACATTATGTACACCCATGAAGTATTTCAGTTTGTTGTAGGTCTACTTTGCATAATGTACTTTGACTTGTGTCCATCAGTGCATGATTCATTGCTCATTCACTGCTTTACAAAACAAATCCAAAGTCATATGGGGTGCTCATTTGCGTCTTTACATCTGATTGTTTGTTGTTATTATATAATAGTCTGTCTTTTGCACATGCAGGGCTGTTTTCTGTTCAGGAACAGGCAGATTGTGCTAAAGGTAAAGCAACTTTTCACAGCAACTGTCTAGTTTTGGGCAAAATTGAGGTTTTCACAAATTGAAAGTTTCCACGTCAAGTTAATTTGCCTTTTTTCAGAGAATCTGGCACGAAGAGGAACCGCCACGCAGTCGACGACAAGCGGCTCTAAGTCCGCGGACTATGCCATCGATGGCGGGAAGGACTTCTCTACAACTTCTAGCACTTGTGCCGTAACCAATTGGGAGTATTACCCGTGGTGGAGGCTGGATCTCCAATCAGCGCATGTACCAATCATCGTGGTCGTCACTTACAGAGATGACAGCTATCCAGGATTAATGAGATTAACCGATGTTTTGTTTGGAAACTCTCTGCCGACCTATGGACATCCCAAGTGAGGCGCTTCAGATGTAACACTTTATTTTGATGGTTTACTTTAGACATTCTACTAAATACCAAGTTATGGCATGAAACTCTAGATGGCGCTGTCTGACTCATTTGGTAGCATCTACATAATGCAGCTGATTGGTTGCTGATGCATCAATGTGCTGCACTGTAAAAAAAAAAATGTGTTTAGTTTACGGTAAAATACCGGCAGCTGTGGTTGCCAGAAATGTACCGTATAGTAAGAATTTACGGTAATAAGGTTTTACAGGTAATTTTTTTAAATTTACGGTAATAACCCATATTTATTTATCTGATATACTGTTAAATTCTCGACCATTTGAAGTGTCAATATCTGTTTTATACCTGACATCCATCAATCACAGCAGTAATGAGAGTCACATGATATACGGAAACTCATCACATGTAGCTCTTTCTCAAGAAACTTAATATTAACATATAGAAGCGGCACAGTGTCATTCACTCAAACATTAAACACCATCATGGAATTTTAAAAAGGCATTAAACTTTAATTTAACAACATTAAATGTCACATAAAACCCTAATGTACATAACCGATTAGAAAAACTATGAAAAAAACAAGTTATTTCAACAAAAAGTGTCACGCAGGATATTGTGGGAATGTCAATTCACGTTTTTTCACTGTAAATTATACGATGAGTCGTTCATTTTCACTTTAAAAACTGTAAATTTAACAGTATTTTACAGTAAAATTACATGAAATTTACCGTAAGATCTATCACAGTTATTTACCGTATATAGTAAGGAAAGTTTTTGTTAACCAATTAACAGTTTTTCACTATAGCATTTTTACAGTCTTTTACTGTTAAAATCACGATCATTTTTTACAGTATGAGTAACTTTACAACTTCAAAAAAATTGGTTTGAATGAATGATTCAGTGACTCACGTGTAAGTCTTTAAATTTTACGTTTCCAAAATAGCGTACTTTCATGAGTAGGTACATTGCAAGTCCTAAAGAATGTGTGTATTAATGTAGTCCTAAATCCACCATGATGTCATTATCATGTGACTAGGGTTGGGTATCGAGAATCGAGTATCAATTGGAACCGAGACTAACTTTTCGTTTTTCCCGGAATCCATCAAAAGTTAAAATTTCGATTCCTAGTTTCGATATTCACAGTCCGCAGAGCGGAAGAAGAAACCGCTGAACAACACCAACGAAGAAGCGTCTACCGGAAGTGTTGGCATAACCACGCGAGTCGAACATGAGTAGCTTACGTCGGCGATCCAAAGTGTGGCTTCACTTTTCTAAAAATAACGAAATCTCTGCAAAATGCAAAATTTGTGACAAAAGGAGTATTTTTACAGAAGGAGTATTTCCTTCAGAAAGGATTATTTCTTTCAGAAAGGCCGTTGGTTAGCAAGGTTAGCTAAACTTTTTTGACCCTGCCTCTTAAAAGAATCGGAATCGAGAATCGTTAGGAACCGGAATCGAAACAAGGACTCGCAATCGGAATCAGAATCGTTCAAATTCAAACGATACCGAACCCTACATGTGACTTACCAGAGTCAATTGCGTCACTCCACTGCCATTCATAAATCCCCCCATGGCCTCATGGGATAGTAAAGTGTCCATTGTATGCACACTTAAGAACATCAGCAGACGTAGTTGTTTTTCACCGATGCTGAATGGGATTTTGGAAACAATTGAACAAAAACTAAATATTTATAACCTTAAATTTCTTAAAGGAAACATTGTTAAAAAAAAAAAATGGAAACATTTACAGAGGTAACTAGTGTGAAGGAATAGATCAGTAGTAATATTGATTGGTTGTGTGTGTGGGGTCCTGTAGATGTACCGTGATCTCAAGGGATCCAGCAGCCTTTACCATCACCTACTCTTGCGGTACTCTGGAGGGACGCTACGTGACGATTCGTACGTGGTGGGACACTCTGGCGGTGTGTGAGGTGGAAGTTTATGAGATAGGTGAGTGGGTTAGTTAGTTAGTTAGTTAGTTAGTTTGGGTTAGTTCACCCAAAAATTAAAATTACTCACCCTCATGTTGTTCCAACCCCGTAAGACCTTCGTTCATCTTCGCAACACAAATTAAGATATTTAAGATATTAAGATCGCTCCTGCATACTAGTCCATAGGCTTCTTGAGGGACTGACTCTTGCTGGCCTCGAAAAGTCATTAAAGACATCGTTAAAATAGTCCAAGTGACTACAGGGGCTCAATCTTAACTTTATCAAACGACGAGAACACTTTTTGTGCGCAAAAACAACAAAAATAACGACTTTATTTCAACTATTGGTTTATTTCTCCCTCTGCGCGAGTCAGGTTACTAGTTTAATAGCGTAAGCTTCTGTTATTGTACGTCACACGCATCACACACACATGACCAGCGTCGGCCAATAGTGAGCCTTCGTGTGACGTAGCTTTACGCAATCACACTACGTTAACTGACTACAGGCTCATGGAGAAGGAAGTGAATAGTTGAAATAAAGTCTTTATTTTTGTTTGTTTTTGCGCACAAAAAGTGTTCTCGTCGTTTGATAAAGTTAAGATTGAGCCACTGTAGTCACTTGGACTATTTTTTTTTTAAATATTTGTTTATTGGTTTTTTCAGCGACATATCAAAATAAAGTGATAACAATTCGAGAATCAAAACAGTGTCAAGTACAACTTACAAGAAAGGAAAAACAAAGACACACACACAAAAAAAAAAAAAAAAAAACCCAAAATGATCACCCACTGCTAAATAAAAGCTTAATATACTCGCTTACAGAGAGAGAAAAAAAAGAATAAATGAAAAAAACATCCCAGCATGCTACTAAATCACATTGAGAAAAAAAAAAATATATATAAATAAAATAATACACTTGGACTATTTTAACTATGTCTTTGATGACGTTTCGATGCCAGCAAGAGTCATTCCCTCAAGAAGCCTATGGACTAGTATGCAGGAGCGATCTTAATACCTTAAATATCTTAATTTGTGTTGCGAAGATGAACGAAGGTCTTACGGGGTTGGAACAACATGAGGGTGAGTAAATACTGACAGAATTTTCATTTTTGGGTGAACTAACCCTTTAAGGGTACCCTAAAAAGGCGAATTTTGACGTATGGTCAAAACACGTCCCAAGACGTCAGTTATATGGCGTCTTGGGATGAGACTGCGCTGTTCAATAGTACTTGAAGACGATTGGCTCCCTTCCGTGATCCCCATTCAGTCGACGTTGAATAGATCCTCCGTTCCCTCCTTCTGCATAGAGCTGGTAAGCCCCGCCCCTTCCGCTAACGCCGCTGGACCTCTAGGTTGAAAAACCGTCAATGCAAGTAAATGAGAGAAAATAATTATTTTCAAATCCCGTTTGAATTGTGCAATGAATGTTACATATGTTGTCTGTGATTTTTTTATATAATGTTTCGTGTAAAGAATGCTACAATTTAGCGGGTAGAATTTTCATACGGTTAGACTTTGTGTGAGAGCACTTTGTGGACTACAACTCTTTCGACGTGTTTGATATACATCACCCCCACTAGCACACGGATCCCGCTAAACATGCCTGTGTCTTTGGTGCACTTCACCGCCTTCTTTTAGGGGGAAGACAAACTAGTTGAGCGTGGTGAAAACCGTGATTTGTGGAGGGAAATTGTGTTACGCGGCGACGTGTAGTCTTTCTCGTTATGTCTATTCCACAACTGCTAGCCAAAGAATCATACAATATACTGTCAAACTCGTTACATTAGAAATTATATTAAAAATTCACAGACAACATATGTCACATTCATGGCACAATTCAAACGGGATCAGAAAATAATTATTTTCTCTCATTCACTTGCATTGACTTGAAGTCCACTTGAAGTTTTACGGATGGGCGGGACTTACCAGCTCTATACGCAACCGGGACGTTACATATTTTTTTTTAAACGCAACAAAAATGGAAATTGAAGATTTATAAGGTGCAGGAATATCATCATCAATGTCATGGTCACATTTACCATTTAGCAAAATGGTAATCCCAACAAGAATCTGCATATATAGTAGATTTTGCTCATATTAAAGTTTGTGACACGAATTTGCCACAATGACTGTTCTGAAAATATCAAAATATGTATTGATGATAAAAAATAACCGAAATTGCATGTTTATCTGATTTGTTTCTGTCGGCAACAAAAGCTTTTGCTTTTTCAGGTCACTAGCTTTAAATATGCATCTTCTCTGCATGACGAATATAAAAGCGACCAGCTGGATATAAACTAAGGCAAAGTATATAAACTACACGTACGGTTTCATTATCTGTTTTAAATCCGCATCTGAAGTGTCCCGCTCTCTGCAGTGTGCAGACTCACATGTCAAAAAAAACCAAACAAACCTCCATGGCATTATTTGGCCTCTAGTGGCCGCTCTCGAACTGTACAAATACACACTTCTCAGCCACTCCAGCATCAGACGCAACTAGTGTCTGTTAAACTAACTTTTAGCATATTAAAAGTCTCTCGGTACATATACCTTAATTCGAATTTTTAGTCAATAATCACCTTGAATGTTTGTGTTTCTTTAGATTATATAAAACGATCGGTCATGAAGCTAGCGTTTAACTCCAGCGCTAATCTGATCGACCCGACAGTGACGGATCAAGTGCTTGAAGAGGTGAGAGTGTGATGTGAGTCTCTACTCCTGTTCTGATGCATTAATATGATATTAACGAGTGTTCACTACAGTTGACGTCAGCGCTGGCTGTGAGAGGAATCACCAATGTGACGCTGAGCTGGTCTCAAACTCCCGAAGAAGAAGTGATCCAAAGACGAGTCGAAAACGGTGAGTGTTGAGTGAATCCAGGAGAAGCGCTTTAAATTCCCTCGGTGATGTGTTTAACGAGGATGATTTTCATTTCTAGATTCCTGCTGAAGCAGATCTCAGAGGAGGAATGAACTTCATCATATTCATCATTTATACACTTCAGTTATTTATACAGTGACTCCATGTTATCATGAACCCTCTGAAACATGAATGAATACACCAGGAAACAAAAGGAATATAATTTAACAATTAAATTAATATAAATATTAAGCCTTTAAGACTATATTTATCTCCTCAAAATTATGTATTATTTTGATGTCATTGAAAAAATTATCTTGTTTATAAAAAAACAATTTATAAAAATAAATACAATGAATATTTATGTAATGCATTTTTAAAAATATATAATAGTAGACTATTTTCTCCCATATTTCCCAAAAAAATATTTTTTTGAGAGAGCTAACAGAAAATATTGATCATATAATATATATATATATATATATATATATATACACAGTTATAATATAAATGGCTCATGAAGTCACTCTTATTTTATATATAGAATTACATTTATTTTAGTTACAGAAAGACAAAATGTCTTTTCAGTAGTCAACTTAATTGTACAAATCTAGTAATCGGTACTATTCACATACTATTCATTGTTTACTCAGAAAAGCCAAGTTAAGATTAATTGATTTGTTTGAGTACATTTGTGTCAAGCAAAAAAATAAATAAAATTAATTAATTCATTAATTAATTAAATTTTTAAAAAAAATTCTTAAGAGACTCAGCAGTTCACTTTCTCTGTTTGCATTCACTCATTTCCCAAAGTCATGAATGTTGAGTTGTCAATACTGAAAATTTTAGAGAACATCACATAAGCTGACTTCCTACATGTTATTTTTCCTTAATGTTTTTGTTTGAAGTCACCATTACGATGATCAGTGTCTCTTTGGTTGGGCACTTTCATCTTCATTTCTATTACTGTAATTCTCTTTCTATTGATGCAACAATAAATCACCGTTATTTGGTTTCAAAGAAAGGGCAGTAATAAATAGTGTGCTTTTAAAGGGTGATCTAACTTCCAACTAAATCACTAACTAGTCTACTTTTCATTTCAAGGATAATTTTATTGCTAACGCTATGAAACTTTAAAATGGGTCGATATAATCCCTCTATATTTGTGACAATATCTTGCAAATGATCATGTTTGCATCACACAGACTTCAACATTCAGCATACAAAACACAACAATGGTAGCAATTACATTTTTTTTTATCATTTATTATTTTTTAGTTACTAGAACTCTTGTGTAAGTAAACTAAGCATTTGTCAGTACAACACTATTCGCTTAAGGCAATCAATTTGCATGTTTTTAAGTAAGTTTACAACTAATTCGATTTTGCAGTGCAGTTTATTTATATATCGGGTGTTCAGGGTTAAAGAAATGTGATAATCATGCTTTTTAGTTGTATGCTCTGGATAAATACAATACAGTGTGGTAAATTCATCCTTGAACAGGATACACCAAGTTAAATAAAAATTAGGGCTGTGCAAAAGTTAATTGCGATTAATCGCATCCAAAATAAAAGTCTGTGTTTACATAATATATTTGTGTGAGCTATATATAATTATTTTGTATAAATAAATACCTATGCATGCATGTATATTTTTAAGAATTATTTGCGCTTAAATTCTGTATATATTTATAAATACATAATCTATATTATATAAATATAAATATTTTATATATGAATAACACATTTTCTTAAATATATACAAGCATGTGTGTGTATTTATATATACAAAATAATTATATACAGCACACACAAATATATTATGTAAACACAGACTTTTATTTTGGATGTGATTAATCGCAATTAACTTTTGCACAGCCCTAATAAAAATACATGTATATTATCAGCAGGTATCATTAAATAAAAATAATTTAAATTATCCTTCAGATGTACCACTATATTGATTACATTACCAGGTGTTCATTGATACGTGAAACTATAATGCCCATAAATGTACACGGATAAGTTTAGCTACTTATGCATATGATTAATCTGATTATATGAACCATGTCAGGATAATGAATTTAAAACAGGAACAATTACAAATCAATTTCAGAATAAAAAATATCTGCTTGAAAGATTCAATCTGTGTATCCAGATTAATGTCCATTAGTACACCTGTAAATAAGATATAAATATCAATTAAATCAAATTTATTTTATTAAATCAAATATTATTAAATCAAATATTGATTAAATTATTTAGTGTTCAAATAGTCCTTTATTTGCATAAATGCTTATTATATTATATTATGTTATATTATTGTTTATAATCATTAACATAAACTAAACCTAATGATCATGTGCATGATCTATACAACATTTTTAAAATGTTTTGTATGTAAAAAAGATTTACATTGTCCAACATATTATACATTAATATAAAATGTACTTTAAAATAGGAAAAGTATTGTCGTGCTCATCAAAGTAAATATTTTTTTTGGCATTTAATGCTTAAAAAGATTTCAAATTTTAAAAATATATTTGTTTAATCTTTGCATATATTTAGCAAGTTTATAGTTTTCGTTGTCCTCCATGTAGGAAAATATGAACAGATGTCTACACATACTTTCAGAAATAAAGCTGCCGTATAAAGCAAAAACTGTGACAGGTTTACCTTGTTGGTTTTTTGGGCTTGTGCGTCACACTGTGGTACGGGAGCCTCGTCCAGGACAGTCTAACATCAGGAGCCAAACTCAACCCGAGAGCGGACTGCAGCTAAACACACACCAGAACCAGGTTTAATTTAGAGTTTCAGGAACCAGAAACAGCACCAGACGAAACGAAATGATGTCTATCGGACTTGACAAAGACTGAAAATTAGCAAATTGGGTGTTTGGTTTTGTTCATTGTTGTACGTTCAATTGGTTTCAATTCACATATTTCACAATACACATCATTTCAAAGCAGTTTTACAGAAAATGCATGAGTCCACATTACAGTTTAGAGAGATCTGATATCAGAGTTACACATTTCAGAAATGCACAAAATCACAGTTAGCGAAAAAGGTATTCATTTAAACAATGTAATAATTTCATGCAATGAGCTCATTGAAGTAATGAATACTTGTTTGTTAACAAATGATTATGACATTTAGAAAGTATAGCATTGGTGTATGTTGATTGGAATTTAACAACATCAACAACAGCAGCAACAGGAAGTGTCATCATCATTTCTATGGATTTCCTGCTTGTTTTCTTATACCTGATTGAGAAATGTGTTGTTCACTGACGCTGTATCCACACTGGAGGCTAATCCCATCCTCAGAAATATTTTTTTTTCCCTGTAAACTGATAAATGCAATATAAAAACACAGGTTTAAAAACAAAAAGATTCACTGCAGAAAAAATAACAATTGTAATTTCTACCTGAATTAAGTAGGGTTGGGTATCGTTTGAATTTGAACGATTCTGATTCCGATTCCGATTCCTTGTTTCGATTCCGGTTCCTAATGATTCTCGATTCCGATTCTTTTAAGAGGCAGGGTTAAAAAAGTTTAGCTAACCTTGCTAACCAACGGCCTTTCTGAAGGAACTACTCCTTCTGTAAAAATACTCCTTTTGTCACAAATTTTGCATTTTGCCGAGATTTCGTTATTTTTAGAAAAGTAAAGCCACTCTTTGGATCGCCGACATAAGCTACTCATGTTCGACTTGCGAGGTTATGCCAACACTTCCGGTAGACGCTTCTTCATTGGTGTTGTTCAGCGGTTTCTTCTTCCGCTCGGAAGACTGTGAATATCGAAACTAGGAATCGAAATTTTAACTTTTGAACGATTCCGGGAAAAACGAAAAGTTAGTCTCGGTTCCAATCGATACTCGATTCTCGATACCCAACCCTAGAATTAAGACAGTTCAAACAAGAATTTCAAAAAACAAAGTAAATTCTATATTAGTTCTTGATTCAAGCCGAATGTTTAAGGTTATAAATAATTTTCTTTTCTTTTTTGGTGTTTTGAGAAAATTTCAAAAATACAAAAATGTATAATTAGTATTAATGCACCAAAATTTATTACCAAATTTTCCCCCATTGAATATAATAGAAAAAAATATTTAAAAAAACAACTAATTTTTTTTGAAGCTCTATTTCATTTTGGAGTCAAGCCTAGGCCTCATAAAAGCAATTTTTTAAATTATATGGATGCCATCTCGTGGACAAACTGAGCTTTTTAAAAATGCAAAACACATTGATCTGAATTTTTTGGTGTGTTTGTGTATAAAGGTGTGTGTGTGTTTGTTCACCCCTTCACTGTTGTGTGCTTTTTACAAAAAAACTCAGTATTTTCACATTTTTGCCAATTTCCAATTCATTTCCTATGCGGGTCATTTTTGACCCGAAGGTCCTGAGTGTGACTATTTTTATTACGACCACTTAGATTTTTAAAATCCTGTCCCCAATTTTTTTGGGTGTTCATATGCCAAGTACCATTAAAGTCACCAATTTTCGGACCATTCCGATGAAGCTACGATTTTTAAATTTTCTTTATTTAAACGCTTCGTTATTGACCCGAAGAACCCCAGAGGGTTAATACGGTTGCAGTTTTTTCACTGTTTTCCAGCTGTATTTGCATTATTTTATCATTTCTTTTGTTGTTGGGTTCAGTAACTTGCTGTTTTGGAATTCATTTTCTACTCGAAATGACACATTCATACTCAAAAATGATCCAAGGAATGTTATCATTATTGTGTCCCAAGTATTGATGTCTCTGTGTTAAGCTAAGTAGAAATTACTCAACAAACTTCAATTGGTTGAGTTAAAATTACTCAAGTGATAATTATACCAAACTTAGTTTAGTAATTTCTTTAATTATATATGTGAAAATTTCTTAAAAAATTGGTAGCACTCTATTTTGATTCTACTATCTTTAAGTAACTTTACATCTACATGCCAACTAACTGTCATTAGAGTATAAGTAGACTGTCTGCTTAATATATGCCAACACTTTATGTTGTTGGTCTCCCAACAGACATTCTGCTGACCATGAGTACCTACATCTCATAACCTGATACCTAACACCTAACAGTCTACTTACACTCTAATTCCTGTGTAATTTAATTGAATTTCAATTTTGAAAGAATTGTGTAATTTCTGATGACTCAAGTCAGATGTAAAATAAGTATTTTTCAACAAAGTAGCTATTCATTCTGCCTTAACTTTAAGTTTAGTCAACTTGGAAATGAGAAATTGAAACTTCGAATTTTGAGTTGGCTAAACTTAAAAATTTCATGGCAGAACAAACACTGACTTTAAGTTATTTTTCACCATCTTTATACCTCAAGATGGCGATGTCTGATCGTCAAAAATGCACAATATCACCAGCAAAAGCGGAGCAAGTATTTTATCGCAATCAAATATTAGTGTCACTGTCACTTGATGGATCTGGTGAAGAATACGAGCCAGACGCTGAATACTGGGGGAATGAGCTCTGAAAAAAAGCATCTGCACAAACTGAATACTTAAAATATCAGGAGAGTTTTATACAACTGCAGCAGTTAGAGATCAGCCCGAGTCGCTAAAGATCGAAATATATGCATGATTGCCAAAACATTCATTCGTTCAGGGGTTAACGGTGTATAATCAGTTGAGGATTGACCTGTTCCATAAACCTCCACCTCACACAGCGTGAGGAAAGTGTTGATTTTAGGAAGGAACATGTTGACGTAGCGGCCGCCCATTCCAACGCACGAGAAACTGACCGTGCCACCCGCTGGAACGGCCCAAGAAACGACAGCACATCTGGAGAGAGAGAGATAGAGAAACCACGAGACATCTAGTCACCTGCTCAAAAGGACATTCAAATCAAATCGTTTTTATTTAAAATCAACATTGGTTGGCCAAAGTGCAGATCAGAAGAGTAGGAGAGAAAAAAAAAAGCCCTCACAAACAAAAAAGTTATGGTAGATTAAAAGCGAAAGAGAAAATTGCGATTTTTGATTGCGAAAATTGTTGATTGCGATTTTACTTTTTTGATTTTAAATAGTGTAATGTTGCTGTTGGTGCATAACAAGTATCTGCAAAGTTGCAGCGCTGAAAGTTCAATGTAAGCAGATATCGTCTTTTAGAAATCAGGACGTATATTGCCTACAAAAACGACTGGATTGGAACTACAGCTGGGTTATGGTACGTCACTAACCCACACATTTGCATCAACACCTCCCTCAGAATATGCAGAAAAGAGCATGCGCATATTTAAGCGGCTCGTCGAGTGTGTGGTCTTCTGTGTTCGAGCTTCCCACGGACGCTGTACTTCGTCAACAATGGATACAATTTATGTTTGATTATGTTCCTGAAAATGACGATGGTAATCTAGCTCTCTGTGCTGCGCGTTTACGGAAGACAGCTTCCAGAAACTCCACGAGTTCAACACCGGATTCAACAAGAAACTGTTACTAAAACATGAAGCAGTTCCAACTTTAAAACCAGAGGCAGCCGTTGTTGGACCACAACCTGTAAGTAGGCTAAGACTTCATCATTTTAAATGTATTTGCATGTATAATTTCAGACGTAGCCTTGTGTTTTTAGTTTTTATCAAATGCCAGTGTAGCCGGCGCGGCCTGCACGTCGCCGACTACTGCGTTGTGTTCCGGTGCACTGAAGACAGGACACTGACGTTCTTCAAACAGATTTATTCTGCACAATTTCAAAGAGAGCAAAGAATCAGGATTCTCATTTTCGTCAGAATCAGCCTCTCTCAGTCAAGTGAAATGCAGACTCCATTTAATCACATTCAAAAATCAGAAAATAAAATACAAAATAATTATAAAACATTGCATTCGTGTATATCATTTGTATGTGTCATATTGCATGTTATTTCTGCTATTATCTTTGGGCTTTTAGCTTTTACATTAACATTATGCAACATGAAATTAACCATCTTCCTCTCAATAATTAATACATACAGTAATATGCACAAAGCTCAATGTTCATACATTATATCTGGGCTGTTCATTGCCATTGAACATCAATCAATACAAAAATACTTTTAAACAAACACATTAAACCTGGTATTGGGAGTACCTGCACAATTTCAAAGAGAGCAAAGAATCAGGATTCTCATTTTCGTCAGAATCAGCCTAATCATAAGAAAAAGGAAAACTGAAACATAAGGCTTTATCACACGACGATAGAATAAAGAGCGCTAGCATACAGCACGAGGTTAGCTATGTTAGCAATTTCTTTAGCTCTCAAACAAACACAGCTCTTGACACTTCTTCACTAAATGTAAGTGCACTCATCATGAAATACACATACAAATTACCATGTGCACTAAAACTACAATTATAACAGGTATATTTCGAGTTTACATTACGCTGACGTGAACACATACCTCTCTCAGTCAAGTGAAATGCAGACTGAGAAAATAACGCGAAAATTCAGCATATGACCACAACTCTAGCCTCTCTCCAATAGAGGGCGCACTTACACGACTCTTAACTCTCCCAATACCTATAAGCCACCATTAACTCACTAAACAATACAACATTTTGGTGAAATATACACTAGTATATCCACCAAATAGAAAACAAAAGGTTACAAAAAAATATTTGTCACTCTTTAACCTGTTACACCAGCGTTGGCTTTATAGCATAGCTGTCAACATTGAACATTGAAAATAAGGGAGTTTTCCCGGAATCCATCCCCAAAATAAGGGATTTTTTTTTTGTGCACGATTCTCACCCACAAACTTTAAAAATAAAGCACAATCCTTAAAAGTCTAAGGTGTTCATAACTAGCCTATGTGTGAGAGAGAAAGAGACAGTGTCATTTAAAGGGAAAAAAAATCTACATTTGGATTAGCGTGTGTTGCTCTAGCATTTGGACAACAATTTCAACATTTAGCCTATCACACATCTTCCAAAATCCGCAAAATAGGGAAGTGGGCTGTCTGTTTATTTTAATTACATTTACACATTTTGTGTAGCTTTAAATAGCCTATTTAGCCTGATGGTGGACCATCACTCAGAAGACACACTATCTTTATATCCTCCTATAGGCCCAGAACGTTTTTTTTTTTCAAGTTTTTTTTCTTCTTCATGTAATCACATTGTTAAGAGCTTAAATAACAAATGGAAAAAAAGAAAATATATTTTATTCATATATTTGAAAATCTATTTATAATAATTATTATTTGTTTAAATTACATTGATATCTGAATTTATGTAAAAACCTAGACTTTCAAACATCAAAATGTAATGTACATGTATTAATATGTATTCGAGTACAAAATTACATTCAGCTAGCCTAAACATCGTTTCCTATTTTTTATTTATTTTTTTGCCTGGAAACGCAAAGAAATTCCAGGCAACGAAACACGCTTGCCTGTCGCGTGAAAAATAGGCGTCAGTTCTATTTCTAGCATGCACGCGTTTTCTGGAGACGCACGTGTCACGCAGGCAGCGTGCAATAAAAACGGACACGCCACGCAGTCAGTGTGTCTCCGGCCAGCGCGCGCGGCACCGCATCCGAGGATAAACGACTTCAAGCCGAATCTGTCCGAGCCCGTACGTCTCACACAATCAGAGAGTAAAAATACGGTATATTTTACGGGAAAATACTCAAACGGGAAGACAGCGGGAAAAGAGCTAAAATACGCCCAGATAGCAAACTGACATTGAATCAACGTGGAAATATGACATCGAAACAACGTTGATCTGACATTGTTTTGCTCATCGAATTAACGTTGAACCAACGTCAGACGCGTCATTCTTTCAAAACTAAGGGAAAATCAACTTGAAATCAACGCGTTGTTTCAACGTTATGAAAGCAAACCAATTTTCGATTTTCATTTAGCTTTGAAGAATGCCGCGTCTGACGTTGGTTCAACGTTAATTCGATGAGCAAAATCAACGTTGTTTCAATGTCATGAGAGACGTCGTTTCCACGTTGATTCAATGTCAGTTTGCTTTGAGAAACCCGGAAAAAACGGGAGGGTTGACAGCTATAGCCACTAGGCTATTTTGTGTCTACGACAAACGCAAACAATCATTATGGACCTGAATTTTGTATAAGTACTAATGTTATAAAAGTATTTTTCTTGTATATATGTTTTATGACATTATTTTCAATTTGATCAAGAACGTAAACTAATGCCGACGCTGTTTGTGTTTAACATTAGTAGCCAGCAAGGGGGTAATCCATCGACTGGAAGTTGAAGCCTCGCGGGAGCTGCCATCTTGTAGCAGAACTTCACTTGCGTTAGCATTCCCATTGACTCCCATTCATTTTGGCGTCAATTTGACAGCGAATAACTTTACATCTGAGGCGTTTGAAGACCCCATTTGTCCTTTATTTATCTCTAAAGAAACACGACAATGTATAAATAGCTCCATTACCTTGTAGCTTATGTTATGGTCCCCGTAGAAGCAGTTTTAGTGAAAGTAGGCTAACGAATCGGGGAAACGTGGAGGCAAAATGACAAAATAATTAATCAGAATACCTAGCAAAAGTGTCTCCTTCCGCCTCTGCAAGTTTCGGAAGTGAATGATTCAGATTTCTCATGCCACAGCCACTAGAAGACAGACAGGTTGCTCTCGTTACATCTACGTAGTCAAGCTCTGTTTGGTCTGCGCGTCAGGGAAGGAAGTGCTAAAAAAATCGCCAAAAACGGGCTTCAATCGTCTTAATGGAGTTCCAATGAGATCGCTCCGTCCATTTCTTTTACTGTTTATGGTAGCCAGTCAGTTGCTATTGTTGCCAGTCAGAATTTTGTATAAGTACTAATGTTGTAAATGTATTTTTCATGTATATATGTTTTATGACGTTATTTTCGATTTGATCAAGAACGTAAGCTAATGCCGACGCTGATTGTGTTTTACGTTAGTAGCCAGTCAGTTGCTATTGATAAAACGAACATGTATAAAGTTAAAAAAATGTAGCAAATTATCATTCAGAAACGTTTAGTAAGGTTCTGCTTGACTCTCTTTATCGCGGCTTTCTCGGTCTGATACGCCTCAAACTGATACTGTAGTATCGACATGAATGGACCGGAGCGCAGGCCCGTTTCGCCCGTAAAGGTAATGGGCGTTAACCTTCCGAACAACGTGAGCGACAGTTTAGCCAATCACAACACACCGGCCCAAACTAACCAATCTGAGCCCACTACGTGTTTCTGAGGGAGTGGTTTCATAGAATCAGGAAGTGAACCGCTGACAATAAAGGTGAAGTTTATGAAAAATAAGACTTTTTAAAAAAGAAAAACCACGAATACATGTTATATACATGCTATAAAAGCAGTCAACCCCCTGTGGAAGCTGTTCAAACTTCACCTGGGATTGTTGTTGCCGTTGTTTTCCAGGGAGTCCCCGATGCGGATCTCTACTCCAGTCAAGCGCTCCGGACAGCAGTCGGCTCTGTTGGTGATGGTCACCCTGTTAATGTAGTGATACTCCAGCAGGTCCAGCCTCCACCACGAGTCGACCCGTTGTAACGTCATGGCGCAGGACGTGGCTTCCCCCGGAGCGTATCTGATGCCGTCGATGGCGTTCCCCGATCCCCAGCGTGCTCCATATAAGCTCGACTGCACAGCTCGTCCTTTTAGTGCCACATTCTCTACAAAAGATTTATTCAGAAACATACAGAGGGCCAAATAATAAGACTGTAATTGTTTCAATAGAACTTTGGAAACCATTAGCAATGACGACTACTTCTAAAGTTTAAGCTTATTATTAAAAGCACAACTTCGATGTTAATATTATTGAATGCATCTGAGCTGACATGAACGAACAGCTGTATTTTTATTAACAACCGTAACAGCATTAACTAAAGAGTTTCCAGAACCTTTTACCTTGCGAATTTTCTGAACTGCCCTGATGGGAAAAGACGCCTGAAAAAAAGAAGTTGATTTGATTGTTTGAGCATAAAGAGCTAATTTCAGTATCATCTGATTGATGTCATTTCTACTCACCAAAAAGTAAAAACAGGTAACCGAGGCCCTCCATCTTGTTTTTAAAGAGGCAGGTCATCATATATTGCAGTAATTGAAGTTATAGGCAAGCTTCTGCGTGTGAGAATGTCATACTGCACCTGTGATGGTTTCTCCGTCTTCCCTCTTTATATTCCTCTTTCTCTTCGCAGATTGAGTCTCCACCCTTATGAGATCCTCTCTGGCCGTGTGCTGAATATATTTCACACACCATTGGACCTCAAGAATTGCCTAACTCTGCACACCTTTAAATCTCACGTCAAGACTGATTTACAAAACAAATCTGCCAGAATTTGATCGTCAGAAGAGAAAAGAAATGGCCGGCACTTTGGATTAATTTTCATAGTTTTTCTTTCCAGGCTTGTCTACATCCATCTAAATGACCGACGAGTCATGTTCCCAAACTCAGCAGATTTCATCCCTGAATTTAGTATTTGTTCAGAACAGGATCAATTCCTGTTATATAATCTGACATCATTTGAATCATCGTAACCCCGCTGTGTTTTCTGGAGGCATTTTTCATTTACATATTTTATTGTTCAAATGTTTTGTACTGAATGAGAAGGTATGAGGCTAGAATTGTGTATTTATTACATGCGAGTAAATCAATTATCTGAGAGAGAAAAAAAATGATTGAGAGAAAAGGTTATCACGCTGATATATCAAACAAGAGTGACTTCATGAGCCATTTATAAGTGTATATATATATATATATATATATATGTGTGTGTGTGTGTGTGTATATATATGTGTATATATATGTGTGTGTATATATATATATATATATATATATATATATACAGTATATATATATTATATGATCAATATTTTCGGTTATCTAGCTCTCTAAAATTATTTCTTGGGAAATATGGGAGAAAATAGCCTACTATTATATATTTTAAAAAATGCATTACATAAATATTCATTGATACTTCTGTGGGAATTACTTATTATTTGGATTCGTATTATAAAGTGAAGATCATTGAAACTAACTAGTAATGACTCAAGTGTTACTAAAGACATTTTCTAAAAGTTACTAAAGTTCACCAAAAATCTCAAACGGTTGCACAAATCATGACTAGATCATGTAGTAACACATGAGTAATTACTAGTTAGTTCCAATGATCTTCACTTTATAATACGAATCCAAATAATTAGTAATTCCCACAGAAGTATCTAGTAACACTTTGATCTGTGCGCTTCTAATTCGTTAATAAGAGTTTATTTTAGTTAATAGTAGTTACTAGATTGTTAATAAACTTTTTCAGTAGTTCTCTGGGAAGTATTAAAAAAATAGTTATTGATTACTTAATAGTGAACTACCACTTTCATCTTTGCGCTATTACTTACGAGTTCGTTAATCAGAGTTTCTTGTTAGTTAATAATAGTTATTAGATTGTTAATATTGTGATTGAATTTTAATATTAGATTAATATTAGATTGAATTTTATTATAATAGGACCAAGACATGGGAAACCAGGAACATGAACAGCGTGATGAAGTTCTTGTTTTTCCAGTGATGAGTTGTGTTGTGTGAGTTTAGACCTGTAGTTTGTCCTGCTTTGCACTCCATCTGGATCAGCTCCATCACGGAGTATTTCCCTGTTGTCTTGTGTGGATTTGAATGATGTAAATCAGAGCTTGATCTGCACAGGAGTCTCAAACCTTATTTTCTTGCACATACATTCTTAAAGGGACAATGTGTAGGAATGTCTCCCATCTAGTGGTGAAAATGTATTTTGCATTCAGACGAATTGTGCTCTTCACGTCTCGCTTTTTCAAATGCGCGTTGCATCTACGGTAGCCATTATGTACCAAAAGGCTCTGACAGGATGTCTTCTAATAGCACTTCGTCGAGTTTCCCTTCGGGTGAACAGGGTTGCCTAGTTTAATGGGGACAACTCTGTAAACATAAAATTAACCTGCTGATATGTCCTGTACACATTTTGTAGCATCGGTGTTCCTTGGGGTCAATTTGACCCCAGGCTCTTTTAGATGTATAATAAAACAGAAGAAATATTAACATTTCACACACATTGTTTTGGTTGTTTTATTGAGATCACTATAACATGTTATAATTTTAATTTATAATGTTGATTGTAATTTTTTACATATTCGATATCATATTCCAAAAACCCTCTGTTTTAGGGCTCTAACCAAACATAACCATATCTGTAACATTGCGAGAACCACTAGTAGTTCACATGACATGTGACATAATTCTCATGAAAACTAATAATTCTTTCCTCTGTATGGGGGAGGGGAAAATGTAATTTTTGCGAGAATTTTGATGTTTCCCGTGCCATGGGGGAGGGGAAACATCATTTTTGTGAGAATGACCCCAAACATTACTCGTGTTACTACCCTTGAACAAAAATCTAAATATATTTATACTTTTCAAATTTTAGGTCAATCAGTAAGATTTTATGTTGATTTGTAAATTTGTCCATAGTCGTGCAATGGGTATTCTGGATGTATCAGGGGTTATGTGCGGTGAGGAGGGGGGTGGTGGGTGGATGTCAACTTAAAAAGTTACTTTGAGGGATACACCACCTTTTTTTGGAAATAGGCTCATTTTACCACTCCCCCAGAGTTAAACAGTCGAGTTTTACCGTTTTCGAATGTATTCAGCCGATTTTTTGATATTTAGAAGAATATCAGTAACGAGACCGTGTCTGGTCTCGTTGACTCCCACAGCGTATATTTTTCCTACTATGGAAGTCAATGAGACCAGAAACTGTCTGGTTTCCTAGTTTTTGAGCTATTCCTAGTTTTTGAGGTAAATGTGAGAACGCCCTCCCTCCTTTAGTGGACTTAGATATCCTAGGAATGACCAGAAGCCTCAAATTTAGTGATCTTAAAGAATGCAATGGATTGCAGGGAGATAGAAGTGTAACGGAGGCCAGCTAGTAGTTGCTGTGCGAGTAAACCTCACTCCCCGATCTCAATAGGCGCTCTAGCGACAGTTGCTAGAGGCTGCAGTCTTTAGCCTCCTTGTTAGAGTGCCCGACTCTCATACCGGAGACCCCGACTCTCATACCGGAGGCCCGCTCGGAGCGGGTCGAGTTGGACCCGGGTGGAGGGGTTACAGCAGTGTTGTAGTCGAGACCACCTCACTCGAGTCCGAGTCGAGGCCAGAGAGAGTCGAGTCCGAGTCAAGACCGAGTCCATAGAGAGTCGAGTCCAAGTCGAGTCCGAGACCAGAGACGGTCGAGTCCGAGTCGAGACCGAGACCAGTGAGGGTTGATTACCTAATTTACTTTTATTTACTTAGAGACATCCTTTTTTTATTTTACTGAATTTACTTAGAGTTTAAAAAATATGATCAGTTTAGGGTAAAAAGGCCACATAGTAGGTGGTGTTAAAAGTAATTTTATTACAATTTGTCATGCGCAGTTTTGCACTAGAAAATCACCAATCACTGGGCGTGTCAATCAATTTAAAGAAATATTTTATTAACATACATTAATAATCATGAAAAATATTTTGAATTGAACTGAATTGAATTGAATAATTCCGAGTCCTAAAAAAATTTTTTTCGAGTACGAGTCAATTCCGAGTCCAAATGCACGTGAGTCCATGACAAGACCAAGACCATTAAAATATGATCTCGAGACCGAGTCCGAGTCTCGAGTACTACAACACTGGGTTACAGAAGGTTCACTAAATGCACAGAAGCTAAACCATATAGGGCTTTTTAAGTCAGTGGTAGTACTTTGTAATTAATATAAAAATATGAAATATAAGAACAAACTCAGAGTGTTAAAAACTATAACAGTATATTAATGATATTAAAGCACTGCCATTAAATTGTCAAATCGAGTTTAATAATTGCACATTATAACACAATACAAATATCTTTAAAGCAGTTTTGGAGTTTAAGCGTTTTCAGATACAACATCATGGTGATCAACATTTAATAGGCTATTCAAGCAGAGAAACTGAAGAGCTGATCCCAAAGGTTTTGGTCCTCACCTCTTTCTATGAGGACATTGAGCTGGAAATGAAACGTTCATTACATCAACAAGACGTCGTTTCCATTTCATTTGTAGTAAATGCGTTTATATTAATGAATCAGTTTTCAAGTGTTTCTTGTATGGACACACTCACCGGGCGCAGCTTCCTTCCGCATCACTTCCTGTTTGGGCAGTTGAGACCAGCGCAGTGTCACGTTAGAAATCCCTCTTCCCGCCAGAGCAGATTCCAGCTGAAACAACACATTTCTTGAAACCAATCAGATCTCTCTCTCTCTCTCTCTCACACACACACACACACACTCACACACACACCTGCGTCAGGAGCGGGACTCTCGCTGCAGCTTCAGACAGACTCCAGCTGGACTTCAGTTTGAGCTTCACAAACGTTTGCTTTAAACAAGGACCTGAAACACACACATGATCAGTCTTTCGTTTAGATCAGTGGTTCTGATGGGTCTCGGGCAGCAGGGAAATGAACATGTCTTTTGTCACATGGTTTATTGAGTCTTTAATGCTCTTAACCTGTAAGTTCCTTGAAACATGGTTTATTGTCCACCACAAATGTGTTTTAATGACTGCCGAGAGCATTTATAATCAATAGTATCAATAGTTTGTTTGGTCAGACCTTCTCCATAGACCTCCACCTCACACACGGTGAGAAACCTTGAATCTCCAGGAATGATCAGATTCACATATCGACCCTCCATATCGTTACACGCGTAGGCGGACGAAACACCAGCTGGAATGCTGGAAATCACAGCACATCTACAGAGAGACAACTTCATTCGGACTTTATTGCATTTGAGGAATCAGAGATTGACCACTGAAAGAGGGTCTCACATGGGATTGTTGTTGCCGTTGTTCTCCAAAGAGTTTCCGATGCGAATCTCCGCTCCGTTTATTCGTTCCGGACAGCAGTCTAGTCTGTTCGTGACGACCACTCGATTAACTCTGTAAATCTGCCGCAGATCCAGCCTCCACCACGGGTTAGTCTGACTAAGGGTTGAGGAACACGCGGACTGTGGATACGTGAAACCTGGATTGAAGTCAATGGCCTGTTCAGCGATCCAGCTGTTAGTGGTCGATGACTGCGTGACGCTTCTTCCTGCTGCCAAATTACCTGTGTCAAGAAATATGAAGCATTTACTTCATTTTGGGAATGCATTTCTACAAGATCGGTCTGGTTCTAGACTAGAACTACTCGAATGAGAATGGTGTAGACCAGGTTGTTATGAACTACCTGGATAAACCACATAGACTTCCACCTCACAGAGAGTAAGAATCCTATCATTTCCAGGAATAACCACAGTTACATATCGTCCCTCCATCCTATTACACGGGTAGCTGGATGAACCGCCAGCTGGAATACTAGAAACCACAGCACATCTAGAGAAAGACAATAGAGAGAGTTTATTAGCATGGCTTGTCTTTTATTCTCTCTAAATGATATACTGTGTATATATTATGGTTTGATATTTCCCCTAATGTTAGTTGTTAATCTGTGTTCGCTGTCTGTTATGAATAAAAATACCCTATTTAATACCACATAACGGCGTTGTTGTTTCCCCTTGCACTCTGAATGCACAACGTGACGAATGAACAAATTACTCTTATGTTCCGTCTCCTTTTAGCAAATTAAAAACACACATCGTTAGTGTAGTCCGATTCACCAACAAATGACGTTTTGTAAATGAATTGTTCGAGAAAAAAAAGATCCCATTCTGACGAATCATTCATTGATCTAAATCAACATCCGAAATCACATACCTCACTTGGCGAAAAACAGCACGTGATAAAAGTAGTATGTCCGAATTCACAATTATATAGTAGGCAAAAAGTCCCCAGATGACCTTCTCCCGGCGAGATTCTGAAGTGTGCAAACGATGGACTTTACTATCCCACGAGGCCACGGGAGAGGATTTTTGAATGCCAGTGAAGCGTGATCACATGATAATGATGGCATGACAAATCCAGATTATACATACCTACAGGATTATTAGGAACGCCTGTTCAATTTATCATTAATACAATGATCTAATAAACCAATCACATGGCAGTTGCTTCAATGCATTTCGGGGTGTGGTCCTGGTCAAGACAATCTCCTGAACTCCAAATGTGTCAGAATGGGAAAAAAAGGTCATTTAAGCAGTTTTGAGCGTGGGCGTCTGAGTATTTCACAATCTGCTCAGTTACTGGGATTTTCACACACAACCATTTCTAGGGTTTACAAAGAATGGTGTGAAAAGGGGAAAACATCCAGTATGGGTCAGTCCTGTGGGCCAAAATGCCTTGTTAATGCTCGAGGTCAGAGGAGAATGGGCCGACTGATTCAAGCTGATAGAAGAGCAATTTTGCCTGAAATAACCACTCGTTACAACCGAGGTATGCAGACAACACACACAACCTTGAGGCGGATGGGCTACAACAGCAGAAGACCCCACCGGGTACCACTCATCTCCACTACAAATAGGAAAAAGAGGCCACAATCTGCAAGAGCTCACCAAAACTGGACAGTTGAAGACTGGAGAAATGTTGCCTGGTCTGATGAGTCTCGATTTCTGTTGAGACATTCAGATGGTAGAGTCGTAAACAGAATGAGAACATGGATCCATCATGCCTTGTTCCCACTGTGCAGGCTGGTGGTGGTGGTGTAATGGTGTGGGGGATGTTTTCTTGGCACACTTTAGGCCCCTTAGTGCCAATTAGGCATCGTTTAAATGCCACGGCCTACCTGAGCATTGTTTCTGACCATGTCCATCCCTTTATGGCCACCATGTCCCCTTTCTCTGATGGCTACTTCCAGCAGGATAATGCACCATGAATCATTTCAAATTGGTTTCTTGAACATGTCAATGAGTTGACTGTACTAAAATGGCCGCCACAGTCACCAGATCTCAACCCAATAGAGCATCTTTGGGATGTGGTGGAACGGGAGCTTCGTGCATCCCACAAATCTCCATCAACTGCAAGATGCTATCCTATCAATATGGGCCAACATCTCTAAAGAATGCTTGTTGAATCAATGCCACGTACAATTAACGCAGTTCTGAAGGCGAAAGGGGGTCAAACACAGTTTTAGTGTGGTGTTCCTAATAATCCTTTAGGTGAGTGTATTCATACTACACACATTTATACTATATAGAGCGTACCTTTTTAGCGGTCATGAAGTACTTATTCAAAATAAGTGTAAGGGTATTCGATTTCGGACGCAGCCCAAGATGTTAATTTTAGTGATGTCCAATTTTTGAACAAACAACGCTTATGATCTTTTTTGTCAATTAGCCAACCGGACAAAATCTCTGTAAATAAGAATACATGCGAGAGACTCACAGGGGGTTGCTGGAAAAGTTCGAAGAATCGTTTCCGACCCGAATCTCTGCCCCGTTTATCCTCTCGCTGCAGCAGTCTGGTCTATTAGTGATGACCACTCGGTTCACGCTGTACACCTTCAGCAGGTCCAGCTTCCACCACGGGGTGCTTTGGGTCTGTGTGTGTGTGCAGGTGCCGGGTCTCCCATCCTGAGCGTTTTGGGGATACCAGTTCCCAAAAAATGACGAATGGCTGGCTGTGCCCCATCCTGCCGCGTTCACTGCAATATGGTCATGGGGGAAAAGCATTATGTTTACATTTTCTATCCTGACTAAAATTGTGTATATGGTTCTAAAAACAATTGTTATGAGTTTCTGTAAAGCTGCTTTTAAACAGTGTGTATTGTAAAAAATGCTTTACAAATAAAATTCACGACTTTGTAAAGTCGCCTATAGACTGAACACGTAATACGCACGTGAATGACGTCATCGTTTTCACAAATTCACATTTTTATTGTGTACTCGGAGACAATGTTGCAATGACGTCAACATCTTTTTCAAACAAATGCACTTTGAAGCCTGTTTTCAAAAGTTAGCATTTCCAGGATGTATAAATGAACAGTCAAAACACATGCAAAGTTCTCTGTTTTTAGTTGAAAACGGTGTCATGTAAATGGCCTCACATGGTGGATGAGATGAGAGCCCAGACAGCAAACTGACATTGAATCAACGTGGAAACGACGTCTCTCGTGACATTGAAACAACGTTGATTTTGCTCATCGAATTAACGTTGAACCAACGTCAGACGCGGCATTCTTCAAAGCTAAATGAAAATCGAAAATTGGTTTGCTTTCATAACGTTGAAACAACGCGTTGATTTCAAGTTGATTTTCCGTTAGTTTTGAAAGAATGACGCGTCTGACGTTGGTTCAACGTTAATTCGATGAGCAAAACTATGTCAGATCAACGTTGTTTCGATGTCATATTTCCACGTTGATTCAATGTCAGTTTGCTATCTGGGAGAGGACAACTAATAATACAGAGGACCATAAATACACTGAGGAAGAAAACAAGCAACTCAAGTCAAATCAGTAACCATGACAACTAAACAGGAAAATCAAACAATTAAATTTACGCGTTCAGTCTGTAGGCGCATTGTGTTGCAAAGTGACATCGCCAACTACTGGCCTGGCAGCAGAATGCAGCGTTTTTGATCATTTCACTGATCCAAGTGAACGGGGAACGTTTAGAGTGCCGAAGTGATGACGTCACTTTGTAAGACAACGCGGAAGCTAGCGTAGCATGGTTTCCCTCGATCGAAAAGCTACGCATTTTTCCCATAGACTTTTGGAAAATCGCAAAAAATAAGATCTGTGTCCAACAAAGAGTTGTGACCCTTACACGTTTTGTCTATCAAGATAATCTTTACAAGTTAATCCAACATGTATACATTCTGAAGCCTATATAAAGTAAAAAAAAAAACACAAGCAGACACGATAAAGTTTAAAAACCACAAGCAGGTTATAACTGTGTGTTTTATGCATAGACTGTAAAAAAATATGGACGTGTTTTCCGTGACGTCACCCGTAGGTTTCTGAAGAACGTTTTTGAAGCCTAAAGTGGGCGGGGCCGGCCGTCGCCTCTCGTCACTACCGGATAAAATAAAATGGGCAAAGAGGCGGGGCGTGGGTGGAGCTGAGATGCTAATGCTACATGCTACTGGCCTCAAGCTAAAGTGACAGAAGAAAAGCCAATAGTTAAAGTTCATCTTTTTGCCCTTCGAAATATTATAATAGTTGAGACGTAACTAAAAGTGAGACTATTTACTTTACTTTTTTATCAACTTTATTAATCCCACAAGGGGCAATTTAGTTAAGAGCATGTACATAACACAGATCACACACATTTCTCAGCAGTCAACTATGCGTCTCAAACTGCTGATTCATTCAGTTTAGATGTAAAATACATTGAGCCATTTCTAATTGAATCGATTCATCTTTAAATCCTTTGGTATTTCATTTCCTTTGTATGGACTATTTGTGTTATGTACAATAATGTGGCACAAATTAACCAACAAAATAGTGTTTAATTCATGAAATCTCACCTTCTTTTTCATCTGCCTTCATTTGAAGTGGGAAAAACCCTTGAAATGAGAAACACAGAATGAGTATTTATAGACTTGAATTTAAAGTCCCTTTGTAATCAATCATTTTAATCTCTAAAACTCATCTTTGATCACCAAAATGACATATTTAAAAAAAATAAAATAAAACAATGCCCTAAATATCTTCAATGTAATTTGACACCCTTGCCTCATTTAGTATGCGCGGTTCTATGAATATGCAAATGAGCCCCGCCTCCACTCACTCACTCAGAGATCGACTGGTTGACGATCACACGTTAATCTGGACTGGGTTTCCCAAAAGCATCGTAGTTGATCGTAGAACAATTGCCACGAATGGTCTCTCTACGATCGACTTAGGCTTACGATGCTTTTGGGAAACGCAGCCCTGATTGGTTACAAGGTCGTTTGTGACATCAGAAACACCAGCGATTTCAAAGCATGTTTTTGAGACTGTCTTTGGTTCACTGCAAGTTGGTTCAAAGAGGAAATACACAGCAATGCTGTCGAATTATGAACTTATGGTGTGTGTTAAAGCGTATGAAAAACACCACATAGACACACAACAACATTAAAAACTCGATTTACATTTACATTACATTTAAGTAAGATCAAGTCACCTTTATTTACATAGCACTTCATATACAAAAATGATGCTTTCAAAGCAGCTTCACAGTAATAAACAGGAAAATAACAGAATCAGTGATGCAAACGTCATCAAACATGAGGCCAACTCAAATTCTGCTGTAAATTTGAACCTCTCAGACCCCTAAAGGAACAAAGTGATGGAAAAAAATATTTTATATATAATAAAAAATATATAATAATATATATATCTAAACTCAGAACGCTAACAAAATCTTTACTTTTTTGTTTCAAATAGTGATCATGATTCTGAACAAACAACATCATTTCCTATGGGTTCTGACAAAGTGTTCCCAGCTTCAGAAACACCCAAGATATTAGAAAAGATGTATTTTACTTACCCAGTAAAAGCGACAGACTCTTGAAGAAAACCCTCATGTTCATGTCTTGATTCTTTCTATCAAGAGACAGAGAGAGAGAGAGACAGACAGAGAGAGGTTCAGTACCAGAGGGACTTCTGTCAGTCATGTCACATTCATATTTATTCTCCTTCATTTACATATTCCTCCTCCTCTTATATTTTTCTCTCTTTCTCAGGGACTAAAGCTAGAACATTTTTCCCCCAAAAAAACTGTATTATTACAGCAATGATATCAAAATAGTCTATACTAATAATATCTTTGGCCGACACTTTTATCCAAACCCCGTCCGGCTTGTTATAAGAGACATCTACTAGTTATAAACCTCAATGAGTGACTATAACTTACAGTATAGATCCACCAAACCAGATCTCATGAGAGAAACCTGATGGAGTCTTCCTAAACTATATCAAGGTTTGTATTTTTTTATTTTATTTTTCAATTTATAACATGTTAACGTCATTATTTCCTCCCATTTCATAGACACTGCAAGATTGCAAGACGTTTTTCCTCAAGGCATGTCTCTGGCGAAAGCCGTCCCGCATCTCCGTGTTTCTAATGCCACAAGACTTATCAATTCAACTGTTGAAACACTTACATAATATACATTATTAATATACTTACATAATTTACACTTACAAAATATACATTCACTTTATACAGTGATGGATTATTAAACGAAACCGTTTAACAAAGTATTGGACTTATTCTTATTCCCTGTGGTTTTCTTTATCTTTATGAGAATGTTATGGATTCATGTTAATGTGTTTTGCCCACATTGACCCTATAGTAATTATTTAAACTTTTCTTACATGATACATACTTTAAATATAATTTCATGTTGTCACTTTTGAATTTGGTTAGACACACATCAAGCTGTCACTGGGGCTGTACCTTTTCAAAAGGTACACGTATAACTTAGTGGTACATATTAGCACTTAAAATGGACATATTAGCACCTAAAATGTTCATATTAGCACCTAAAATTGACATATTAGCACCTAAAATGTTCATATTAGCACCTAAAATGTTCATATTAGCACCTACAATGTACATATTAGCACCTAAAATGTTCATATTAGCACCTAAAATGTTCATATTAGCACCTACAATGTACATATTAGCACCTAAAATGTACATATTAGCACCTAAAATGGACATATTAGCACCTAAAATGTTCATATTAGCACCTAAAATGTTCATATTAGCACCTACAATGTACATATTAGCACCTAAAATGTTCATATTAGCACCTAAAATGTTCATATTAGCACCTACAATGTACATATTAGCACCTAAAATGTTCATATTAGCATCTAAAATGTTCATATTAGCACCTACAATGTACATATTAGCACCTAAAATGTTCATATTAGTACCTAAAATGGACATATTAGCACCTAAATGTTCATATTAGCACCTAAAATGTTCATATTAGCAACTAAAATGGACATATTAACTCGTACAATGTACATATTAGCACCTTAAATGTTTATATTAGCACCTAAAATGTTCATATTAGCACCTAAAATGTACATATTAGCACGTAAAATGGACATATTAGCACCTAAAATATTCATATTAGCACCTACAATGTACATATTAGCACCTAAAATGTTCATATTAGCACCTAAAATGTACATATTAGCACCTAAAATGTTCATATTAGCAACTAAAATGGACATATTAACACCTACAATGTACATATTAGCACCTAAAATGTTCATATTAGCACATAAAATGTTCATATTAGCACCTAAAATGGACAAGCACCTAAAATTGACATATTAACATACAATGTACATATTAGCACCTAAAAAGGCTAAAATGTTCATATTAGCGACTAAAATGTTCATATTAGCACCTAAAATGGACATATTAACATCTACAATGTACATATTAGCACCTAAAATGGACAAATTAACACATACAATGGACATATTAACATATACAATGTACATATTAGCACTTAGCACCTAAAATGTTCATATTAGCACCTAAAATGTTCATATATTAGCACCTAAAATGGACATATTAGCACCTAAAATGAACATATTAGCACCTAAAATGTACATATTAACACCTACAATGTACATATTAGCAGTTAGCACCTAAAATGGACAGATTAACACATACAATGTACATATTAGCACCAAAAATGTTCATCTTAGCACCTAAAATGGACAAAAGTTTACCTTTTGAAAAGGTACAGCCCTGGTGTCAGTTTTCGTACTTTTTTTTCTGAGAGTGTATAACACACACATTCATCACGCTGATTAGACGGTCAATCTTGTTGAAAGCAAGTTTTGACAACATCCCTGACGAGCTTTCTTGAAGTCATTTGCTTAGAAAGCATGCTAATTTTTGATATTTTTTTCATGTAAATGTCAATGACATGTAAATGTTCCCAAATTTCTCTTCTTTTTCCCCTGATGGACGTGGTTGTCATTTGAATAGACACACAGCTCTTTTGGCTACATGTAAAGGAGACGGGAGGTGGACATGCGAAAGAGGCGGTTTGCTTTCGCACCAAAAATTATTTTTGTCACTTGACTTTTGTAAGGTCTGGACCCACCAGACACACACACTACTTATTCATTATACAGTATACAAAGGTTTATGAAACTCCAAAACTAACATCCCAAATCAAATGAACACAGGCAGGAACCAGTGTCATATGCATACTTCATATCATTGTGTACTATAATGTATATATTATGGTATGTATACACGGTCAACCTCGCCTCTATCATACCTCCTAATCCTCATTTAACGACTCACACTGTGATGTACATCGCCTTCTTCTAGAATGCAGCGTGGATTTGTTATAACATCCGTTAATGCATTAAAGCATTATAATAAATAAAGTTAATGAAAAAAAAATCTTAAGTATACTGTAAGTTTGAGAAAGTCTAATCTTCAGCTTTTATTGATTTTTTTGGGGATTTTATGACAGAGCATTAATAAAGTTATAACCACGCTTCGTAAATTAAAGGGATACTCCACCATTTTTTCATATTAAACAATGTTAATAGCGTGTAAAGTGGATAACTATATTATATGGTGGAATACCACAGCAAGTGCTTGGGAACGCTTCGCAGTAAATCATCACTCGTGAAAACTGATATGATATTATCCACTTTACACGTTCAGGGCCGGATTAAGAGTTCACAATGTCTTGTAGGCCCCCCTTTTAAGCAGACCAGGCCAAATGTATATTTTGTCCAAGGACATTTTATTATGGCATTTACAGTTTTACTGTCTTAAAATTAACTTTGTTGAACTATGCTGGAGTAAAATTCATAAATGGTTGTTCTTTCCTATAGGAATTTGTAAAACTATGTTGGGTAAACCCTTAATATTGTATTTATAGCTTTACTGATTTACTATTCCTCAAGGGGGGTTTGGGTGCATGCTCCCCAGCAAGACAATTTTGTACATTTTAAGGTTAAATGCATCAATCTTGTGCTATTTGAGAGATCTAAATTAAGAGCTTCAACCCATGAGCTGCTCGTTGAACAAAGAAAACGCATTGATTTGATAATGATTTAATAATGATTTATATAATTATTCCTATGACGTAAAATCCATATAGCCTATAAATGTACTATATAAATGAAAATGAATATTTCAAAAGTATACATTACACTATAATATAGGAAAATTAAAACCCATGAGCTTGTATTTAGGAGAAAACACCAGATGACCATCCTGATCGCGTGAGCAAAGTGCACACTTTTCTTTAATTCACCCAGCACTGATGCCTATTCTTAAAGTCTTGTGCTGTTTTATAAACGCAAAAAGCCATGTCATGTCATTTTAGTTCGTTGGCAAAATAACACGTTAGAGACCTATGTTAGGTTATACATTTTACATCTTATATGTGTTGGGAAAAGGGAGAAGAGACTTCGGCAAAACGTGGATTCGAGCTTGGGTCCGAGCGCATCTAAAGCTGATTTGCGCGCTTAGCGCGTTACGATCTACACCACTGAAGCTGTGACGTAATCGGTGTCTTTTTTCATAAAAGACAGGCACTTAGTGCAAACATACGCTCTGTTAGATCAAACTGTCCCTCGCGGCCTCGAAACACTACCGACCCACCGGGGAACCCCGTCCTAGGTCAAACAGTTCAAGGTCCAAATGAGAGTTTCCAATTATCCAATTAACGCTAGATTTGTTTTATATAAATTACAGACATATCATCTGAGGACTATTTCTAATTGTTCTCAGTTGTTCTGCTTTATTGCCAGACTCAATATTTGGCTCGTTCTTGCATTGAAGAGTGCGCATGTGCGAACCTGCTCTACTAACACGTTACTTCAAATGTACTAAAAGAGTAAATTACATTTGTATGTATTCTAAATAAAAGACACCGGTTGTACTGAATGTCTGCTTGCTTATTTTGCTCAAGATAAGGATTTATTACGTCCAAATGTGATGCAATATAGAAACGATGCGTCTAACAGGTCGAGAGCTGACGTTCAAACCACACAAGTTTGCGATGCTGTTTGCGAATGTTCGTTGGAACGATGGTTTGGGGAAACACCGACTCGTTGAACTATGCTGATAACGACGGAACTTGCGACCATAGTTGGCTAACGATGCTTTCGGGAAACGCACCTCAGATCTGGGGACCAAGAATCACACACACACACACACACACACCCACACACAGAGAAGTGTAGTTCACTCAAAGTCAGCTTTATTGTGCTCGTGCCGTAGTTCATACAGCAGGTCTCGGGTGAAACCAACAGATAGAATTATAACAACTCCATATAGAAAAGAAATGAGACTGTCAGCTGAGCTGAAAGAGTCCAAAGAAAGACATACAACTCTATTCATAATTCTATCATGTTGCATAACACATGTCTTATGAACGTGTGACTAAACAGGGTACAAGAAATGATTAGATAGACAGAAGAGGAGATGCACATTTATCCTAACAGCGCCACACTGTGGTTTGCTGAGATAGTGACTACATTCAAAACAGGAATTTCATACAGAGATATTAGATATTTATGAGATGAAAAAGAGTTTTTCCTTTCACTATATTTTCACTTTTTGTCTTGCAGCATAATCTGGAAACTAAAGACATTTTGTGCATCCAGGCTATGGTATTATTTTACACCGGCCTGTAAATAAAGCATATTAAAACACTTATAATGAAGTCTAATCCAAATTCTACATTCTTCAAGAGGTGTATTGTGTAAATGTGTTTACCTTTCTCTTCATCCCGTTTCTGTTCTCGCTGGGGAGGTTTTGTCCAGGACAGCTTGACATCCGTGATTCCTCGTGACGTCAGATTAGACTGAAGCTAAAACAACTTTATATTAGGCTTTATATTTTTAGGAAATAGTCAAAAGTTCATGAATATGATAGCAGTGAACTACACTTTAGTTTCCAGTCTGCATCTGTTAGGTGTAGTGTTAGTGAATGTGTGTTTCTTTTCCTAACCTGATAGAGGAGTTTATCGTTGTCTGGGTCAGAAGTCGAGACAAATTTCATCCTCACAGAGTTTATTCTCACTGAAAAAAACACACATCAATACAGTAAAGTGATAATATGGACAGATGAATGGGATTGTGGACTTTTTTCAGGATATATAGACAGTTTGAATTTGGTGTGAGTGAAAACACGGCCGTAAGACATAAAAATGTCTCCATTAGGAGGTTATTGTTAATTAACAATATAATACAATTTCTACTCTTAAAAATATTTAAGATATTTAATATTTAAAATTGCAGTGCTGCGCCGTCACAAAAGCTTATGACTTGCTTGCATTTAAAAAAAATTCTGATTATAAACAAGTGAAATTGGAGATGAGAATTATGAAGTTTCAATAGTATTAAAAATGTTGATGTCATAGTTTTATCTAAAGTAAAAATAACTATATTGTGAATTTATGTTGAAAAAAAAAATTATCGTGATATAAGATTTTAGTCATAATTTTGGTCAATATTACCTGGCAAAGCCCCATAGACTTCCACCTCACACAGCGTAAGAACTTTTGAAGCTCCAGGAAGAATCACGTTCACGTAACGTCCCTCTATTTGAGGAAAGGTGAAAGAAGCTCCAGCTGAAATACTCGGAACTACAACACATCTGGAGAGAGTCAAAGAGAGGAAGGAAAACATTAATCGTTGTTTAAAGAAAAAGGATCAAATCTTAGAAAAGCCTAAAACATTTGGTAAAATGCTTATATCTACCTTCAAAGAAACACATGTCTAGTACAGTACAGAATGCAACTGTAGGGAATCGAAGTCCCTCTGTCAATACTTTTATCCTTTAAATTCATCTTGGACATATGCATCCCGACCACCTCGCTTTTTTCTTATCAGTGCGAAAGCGACGCAAAATACTCTGGTTTTGGTCATACAGATATTGTTATAAATCATTCAAAACTTTTATTTGCGGACACTTACAATAACAACAAAACAGTGTTTTTGTAAAATAATCAGCCATCATCAATAATCAGCCTGTGTATCTCAACCATGGTGACAATAATAATCCTTGTTGCCACCAATCACAACTCAATAATGGCTCCCATCAGGCATTGTGGTATGAATAAATTATGATCTGAATTGTCTATGTAATTTACTTTTCCTCATTGAATATTCTTCTTGTCACCATTGTTGAGACGCATTGACTGAATCTTGAGGTCTGTGTGTGCCTAAAAGAAAGATTTTCTTTAAACAACTAACATATATCTAAGATTCTGGATATTTATGCAGAATCTCAGTTATGCAGTAACCAACAAAATAAATCTCAAACATAAATATAACTAATACCATTATATAATTATTTTTCTTTGTTCATCTGGCAGATATAACTCAGATGCAACAGCCAATTAAAATATAAAGTTTATAATGTAAGGAGCCCAACTAAAGCAAACACTCATCTCCATAAGGGTGGCTTACAATTTTAGATTTTCTCCTTGGGATTCTGCTTTAGGTGTCTTCAATAATGCTCAATCATCACTCATTTAATCACTTAATTATCTCATTAACTTTAACACTCTTGAGTGTGGACTCATATACACTCCCAGGTGTGTTAGTTTAACACGGGAGATTTTGTCGTGACGAAGAGCCGTAGTTAACTGACCAGCTGAGCCATATCGCATTAAATATCGCTGGCGATACGTCCTCGATTTTAACACGATTTGGCTCAGCTTGTCAGTGATCTACGGCTCTTTGTAGTAAATGCCGCTCCATTTGAAAGCAGGTGAAGGTGATTTACTGCTAATCAAGGAACCGGCTTTACTGATTAGATGCGCATAACAATATCGTGCGATATATCGCCCAGCCGTATAATAATAAGTACATGTACGACACAACAGTGTTTTATGAACTATAAAACAATATTATGTAAAAGTAATATGAGTAAGATTACTGTGAAATTCGTGAATATCTGCTTTTTATGAACTTTATCACAGACAGTATTCTATGTAGGCTAATTAATGCTAGGTCGAATAGCATTGCATCGTAAATCTACACTTTATTTTTTATCAAATACCAGAGGTGGCTTGAAGAACACGGATAAACCATATATTAATAAACCAATCAGTCGTTACAAGGTCAAACCTTGTTTTTGTTTTTCACTGCAGTTTTAAGACAAAAATACTAAGCAATGCTGTCAACTTATGAATCTACACATGGTGTGTCTTGAAGCGTGTCAAAAACACCACATAGACACATAAACAACATTAAACGCTGGATTTTCTGAAACCGATCGGAAAGTTTTGGCACATTGTTTTCATACTTTTTTTTTTGAGAAGTTTGTTTCTTTTGTTCCTTTAGTTGCATCAAACTATGGCGATTATCCGTCACATGCTCATGGCGATTTTTAACAATTTTGCATTTTGGGAAATTCGTGTCAAATTCATATGAATTTGTACAATCACATTCGTACAATTTCGCACAATCTTTTCCACTGATGGTTATGTAGGAGTGGGCCTTCTCACTGGCTTTTCGTAGGTTTTTTTATGAGAATGGGTTCCATGATTAAATGTGATACCATGTTTAATCATGGAAAGGTTTAGTGGGGGAACTCTGGGTCTCCTGGAATCAGTTTTAAATAACGCTTTATGCCAAAAAGATTCTTTATAAGAAGAAATGTCTTCATAATTTCATGTATTTACAGATTTTTTTTTCTGGTTTAATTAATAAAACTTAATTACCATAAAACTTCAAAAAATAGCCAGATGTTGTTCATAGAGTCTCTAATCTCTAAAAAACTCCAAATGCTCCACATAAAAAACTGCGATCTTCTGACATTTTACTATCGTGTCAATTGATTTTGTTAATATGCGTGAGAGAGAGAGAGCAAGACAGCGCTTGTGTTTGAAGACGTGAGAGTGCGCTCGTGTTTGAAGACGCTCTCTCTCTCTCTCTCTCTCTCTACACTCGCGCCCAGTCAAGCGCAGCTGTCTCTATTACAAAGTACATCCCTGAGTCTGACCGATTAAAATAGGCTTTGGCGGGACAAAAATTAACTTTAGCAGCCACCAAAAAAGCGGACAATCTGACGGGTTTTATTAGATTTAATTTAAAACAATCCGAAACTAAAAAAACAGACCCGGCCTCTATTTGAGACCGGCTTTTATTTACCCAAACCTTGTAAAATTAATATAAAATTAATTCGTTAAAACTAAATCCAAAAAGTATCCCATGATGGAACCCTTGAAATGTTCTATATAAAGCGCTTGACGTAACTCTTTAAGGTTGTATAAACTTTTCTACTAAGAGTGAGTAACTGTAACCTGGGATTGTTGTTGCCGTTGTTTTCCAGGGAGTTTCCGATGCGAATCTCCGCTCCGTTGATTCGTTCAGGATTGCCATCTATTCTGTTGATGATGATCACTTGAGTAATGTAGTAATTATCCAGCAGGTCCACCCTCCACCATGGATTAGTCTCCTCATCTGTATGGCTACAAAATGAGGCTTCGCCTGGGGCAAGTTTTATTCCATCGATCGCACTGTGAGCATTCCAGTTCAGATATACAGATGACTGAACAGCATTCCCAGTTAAGTGCACATTATCTGGGAAGAGAAATGGACTGTATGTTAGGGCATATTAGCGGTCAAAAGTTTTGATTCTGAGTAAATTAGTTTTTGTTTTTTCTTAGATACTGTCAAACCTGTTAAATTCTGAAATATTATTACAATCTATTTATTCTTGTGGTCAGTCTTCAGTGCCAAATGATCCTTTAGATATTCTAATGTGCTGATTTGCTGCTCAAGAAAACATTTATGATTAATATTATTTATGTTAAAAACTGTTGTGCTGCTTCAGATTTGGAAACCATATATATATATATATTTATCAGATTATATTTATATATGTCAGGTGTCATTGGTGAATATAAAGTTCAAAAGAAAAGCATTTATTCGAATCTTCTTTCGGAACTCTATACATTATTACTGCCCATGATTTTGACAAATGTAATGCATCTTTTATGCATTTTATTTATTTATACTTAATTCAACCAGGTAAAAAGTAAAAGTAAAATCAAGAAATGCACTTGCAAAACATTTTGCAAAAGACATTTAAGAGTTTTCAGAGGTGGCAAGTTTAAGTTCATTTTGTAGGCCAAGAAAAAGCAAGTTTGTCAAATTCTGAGGACACCTTTGCTTTGAAACTTTTAACCAAATGTCTGATGGAGATCTAGTACAATAAATATTTGTATTAAAAGTTAAGATATTTTAGATATGTGAGGGAAATTTGTGGAAAAGTGCCTCAGCAATGAGCACTTTTGTACTTGCAATTTCCTCCTAAAAAGATGTCCAAGCCAATCTCCAGGTAAGAGTCAGGCGCTATAACAAGGAGGCTAAAGATTGCAGCCTCTAGCGTCTGTCACTAGCGCGCTTATTGAGATCAGGGGAGTGAGGTTTACTTGCACAGCAACTACTACTAGCTGTCCTCTGATACACTCACCCCCCGAAATCTCACTCCCATCCGGGTCACGGCACCAATGTAACCCCTCCACCCGGGTCCTACTCGACCCGCTCTGAGCGGGCCTCGAATCCCGGTCTCCGCCATGAGATTCAGGCGCTCTAACAAGGAGGCTAAAGACTGCAGCCTCTAGCGTCTGTCGCTAGAACGCCTATTGAGATCAGGGGAGTGAGGTTTACTCGCACAGCAACTACTAGATGGGCTATGTTACACTTGCATGACAGGATTTCCACGATGAGAGTCTTCTTGGCTCAGATAAAGATATGTAGATCCTAGATCCTTTGCCAGTTCCACTTGTTGTCGGCTCAATAAATGTAAATGTAACAACAAAAAAAAAGAAATTCTTCAGAGAATCACCTACAGCACCTTTAGGGTTCTTCAACAGTTTATCTATGTGTACATTAAAAACTAATATGTGTAACCACATACATAAATATTTGTATATCTTTCAATTGTTGTACCATCTAAAGTCGCTAATACCACATCTGTAGTATTAGGCTAGATACGGGGCTAGATTACTGGGTGGTTGCCCTGCACGCTTAATAAAATTCAGAATTCAGATTCAGAATTCAGAATTCAGAATGGGTTTATTCGCCCTGAATGTTTGTACATACAAGGAATTTACTTTGGCCGGAAGGTGCAAACATATAACATACAGCATATAGCGTACATACTATAATAACACAAAAGTGTGCCCACATGGGGTACCTAATAAAGTAATAGTGCAGATATGATAAAGTGCAAAAATGAGTTCAAATTTGAGGTCAGTGTCACTGAGAGCTCCAGGCCTTGTTAAGGAGGCCAGTAGCAGAAGGGAAAAAACTGTTCTTATGGCGAGAGGTGCTGGTTTTGATGGACCGCAGCCTCCTGCCAGAGGGGAGTAGCTGAAACAGGGAATTACCAGGGTGAGAGGGATCTGCCATAATCCTCTTTGCACGTTTCAGCGCCCTTGAGGAGTACAAGTCCCCGAGGGAAGGCAGACTGCAACCGATCACCTTCTCCGCTGTACGGATGATACGCTGCAGTCTGCTCTTATCTTTGGCCGTGGCAGCAGCATACCAGGTAGTGATGGAGGAGGTGAGAATGGACTCTATGATAGCTGTATAAAATTGCACCATCATTTTCTTCGGGAGCTTGAATTTACTCAGCTGCCGTAGGAAGTACATCCGTTGAAGTGCTTTCTTGGAGAGGGAGCTGATGTTCAGTTCCCACTTTAGGTTCTGGGAGAGGATAGTGCCCAGGAAACAGAAGGACTCCACAGTTTTTACTTGGGAGTCGCGTAGGTTAATAGGGATAGATGGGGCTGTGCCCCTTCTAAAGTCCACAACCATCTCCACTGTCTTTAGAGCATTGAGCTCTAAATTGTTCTGGCTGCACCAGGACACCAAGTTGTCAACTTCCCACCTGTAGTCAGACTCGTCTCCATCAGAGATGAGCCCAATGAGGGTGGTGTCATCGGCAAACTTCAAAATCTTGACGGATGCGTGACTGGAGGTGCAGCTGTTGGTGTAGAGGGAGAAAAGCAGAGGTGAGAGGACGCAGCCCTGAGGGGAGCCGGTGTTGATAAACAGGGGCTCAGAGACTAGTGACCCCAGCCTAACGCACTGCTTCCTGTCAGACAGAAAGTCCGTAATCCACCTACAGGTGGGATATGGTACATTGAGCTTGATGAGCTTGTCCTGTAGCAGGGCAGGGATGATGTTATTAAAGGCGGAACTAAAGTCCACAAACAAAATCCTGGCATAAGATGCCGGAAAATCCAGGTGCTGGAGGATGAAGTGTAGGGCCATGTTGATTGCGTCGTCTACAGACCTGTTGGCCCTGTAGGCAAACTGCAGGGGATCCAGGAGAGGGTCTGTGATTGATTTGAGGTGGGCCAGCACCAAACGTTCAAAGGACTTCATTACCACCGAGGTCAAGGCGACGGGTCTGTAGTCGTTATGTCCTATAGGCCTTGGCTTTTTGGGCACAGGGATGATGATGGAGGACTTAAGACAAGCTGGTACATGGCATGTCTCCAGGGAGGTGTTAAAGATGGTGGTGAACACAGGAGATAGCTGGTCCGCACAATGCTTAAGGGTGGCTGAAGAGATGGAGTCTGGTCCGGCTGATTTTCGTGGGTTCTGCTTCTTAAAGATTCTGTTTACTTCACTCTCTTGAATAGAGAGAGCCAACGCTGTGGTGTGGGGAGGGAGCACTGGTGGACAGGGGTGCAGAACAGGACTGTCCAATTGCCTGTCGAATCTACTGTAAAATTCATTCAGGTCGTTAGCCAAGCGAGAGTCATTAGTTGTGTGGGGGGCTCTGGGCTTGTAGATGGTAATCTGCCTAAGCCCCCTCCAGACAGAAGCGGAGTCGTTAACAGAGAACTGGTGCTGCAGCCTCTCTGAATACAGTCGCTTAGCCTCCTTCACGGCCTTTCCGAACCTTTTTTTCGACTCCTTGAATCTATCTCTGTCCCCACTCCTAAATGCTTCCTCTTTCTCCAACCTCAGCCTTCTGAGTTCACCTGAAAACCAGGGCTTATCGTTGTTAAAATACACCCTGGTGCATGTTGGAATACAGCAGTCTTCACAGAAGCTGATATATGACGTAACAGCCTCCGTGTGCTCATCCAGGCTATTGGTAATGTACCGGAACATATCCCAGTCAGTAGAGTCCAAACACGCCCGCAGATCCTCTAAGGCCTCACCGGTCCACTGCTTTGATATCCTCACAGCAGGTTTACAGAGTTTTAGTTTCTGCCTGTAAGCAGGAATCAAGTGGACCATGGCATGGTCAGAGTGACCCAGTGCTGCACGAGGAACTGCGTGGTAGGCTCCACCCACCGTAGTGTAGCAGTGATCCAGAGTGTTACCTTTTCTGGTTGGGCAGTTGATGAATTGCCTATATTTGGGGAGATCATGGCTAAGATTACCTTTGTTAAAGTCGCCAAGAATGATAACTAAGGAATCCGGATATGTTCGCTCCACACGTAATATCTGATCGACGAGTAAGCGATGTGCTTCTTTAACATTAGCTGCCGGCGCTATATAAACACCGACCAAAATAAACGACGCGAACTCGCGAGGCGAGTAAAAGGGCTTGCAGTTTATAATAAATGATTCCAAGTCCGGGGAACAATGTTGTAGAATCGCTGTAACATCTACACACCAGCCACTGTTAATATAAAAACAAATACCTCCACCTTTCGTTTTGCCGGAAAGAGCCGCGTCTCGGTCCGCTCTCAGCAATCTAAAGCCGGTCAGTTGTAATGAAGAATCCGGGATTAGATCGCCCAGCCAAGTTTCCGAGAAACATAGGACAGACGCTGCAAGGAAATCTCTGCTTCTCACCAACAATAGCTGTAGTTCATCCATTTTGTTGCATAGTGAACGAACATTCGAGAGAAAAATGCTTGGTAGCACTGTACGATTGCCGCGTCTGCGAAGACGCACAAGAGCACCCGCTCGCTTTCCCCTTTTCCGCCCACATTCCTTTGCTCGCTCCGAGCCGAACCCGGCTTCCACTAGAATGTCCATTATTTCTGCCGCTGGAAGCATAAAAGTGGGAAATAAATCCGCTGGAATTGTTTGTTTGATGTTTAAAAGCGCTTCTCTTGTTAGAAAACGCCGAAAATCATGGCAAGACACTGAGTTAACAAACAAAACAAAACAAAGCAAGACGCACCATCCGACCATGGCTGCCATACGCGGCGCCAAACAAACTTCAGCCAGTCCAAAACGCAGCAGTTCTTATACCAGAACCAGGAAGTATGACCATATTAGCCCGGTTCTGTCAACACTGCATTGGCTGCCTATTAAATATTGTATACATTTTTAAAAATTGATGATTACTCACAAAGCACTAAATGGTTTAGCTCCCCAGTTCTTGAGCGAGCTCTTAACGCATATAGTCCTTCACGTCTATTGCGATTTCAATTTTCTGGCCAGTTGATAATACCTATGGAGGGCCACTGTCCCCGCAGAGTTTAGCTCCAACCCTGATCAAACACACCTACCTGTGAGTTTCTACTGATCCCAAAGACCTTGATTAGCTTGCTCATAAGGGTTGGAGCTAAACTCTGCATGCAGTGGCCCTCCAGGACCGAGTTTTGGGGAACCCTGCTCTATTGCATCAAATGTCGACGAAAAACACATCTCTTTGATCTAGCATACACAGAACACATTATAGACTTCTATAATTCAATGTTAGGTTGCATAGATTACGTCAGCCGGAACCAGGAACACTTTCCCTAAATCATGAAGTACTTTGTATTGTAAAAAGCGCTAAATAAATAAAGGTGACTTGACTTAATTAGTATGACTGAAAAATTTTACATTTAATTTAAAACTAATTTCAATTGCAACAATAAATGTTGTACAAAACACATTCTGTAGCGTTTTCACAAAATACAAGGCAGCACAACTGTTTTTCATCATGTATAATAATCAGAAACATTTCTTGAGCAGCAAAACCAGCATATTAGAATGATTTGGGAAGGATCGTGTTACACTGAAGCCTGAAGTAATGATCCTGAAAATTTAGCTTTGATCCCAGGAATACATCATTTGACTATATATTCAGATTGCATTGTAATATGGGACTGTTTTTACTGTATTTTTCATCAAATAAATAAAGCCTTGGAAAATAATCTTAATTATTCCATACTTTTATGAATTGAATATATTATTACCTGTTCCATAGACTCTCACTTCACACAGAGTGAGATTCTTCGAATCTCCAGGAAGGACCACGTTCACATAACGGCCTTCCATTGGACCGCACGAGTAAGTGACGGATTGACCAGCTGGAATCTCAGAGATTTTTGCACATCTAGAGAGAATTTGAAACATTATTTACTTCACATGAACTAAAGCAATTTCAAAAGTCTCATTCTCTTTTTAAAATCCTTTAAAAGAGGTCATATTATGCGTTTTTATATCAGTGTCACTGTTTCTGAACTCCCCGAAATGCCTCCATTGTGGTCTTGGCTTTTCTTCTGAGAATGAACACATCTCAAGGGGCCAGTTGTTCAAAGGTAAACTGATCGGATTTTGGTTATCGGATTGGATCAAATCTTGAAAATGGGTTGTTCAAAAGGGAAAGAAGGAATCTGAAATTAGATTAGATCAGGGAATCCAATCCTAGTTTTAATCTGGATCAAACCTTCAGTTTGTGTTTTCAAAACTTGTCAGTGGGATTTGGATAATTTGATCCAAAAAACAGGATTATCCTGATCCCAACAGGTGGATTTCAGGAAGAAAATGGAGTAAAACTTTAAAATTGGTCAAATAATACATTTGTGTCATTTAGTGTATATACTTTTATTTATATTTTGCACTTAACTTGTGTAACCGTTGCAACAGTGATAAAGTAGACATAGGCTAACAATTAAGCTATTCAGTATAGTAAAGTAAAAATGATCTTGTACCCATTTGTGTTTTGTCTCAAAATAAGAAACACTTACAGTGACCCCATGTTGGCTCTTCTACCTGTTCTTTACATAGCTGGTAGCACACATTGTGATATGTTGTCCCATTTAGAGCACTGGTAATCCGGATTTGGTAATCTTGAAACCAGTGTATCTGGATCAGGGTGATCCAGTCCAATGTTGCTTTGAAAAATAAAAGTATAAAAGTAAGACGGATTCCCTGATCCTGGATAGGAAAAAATGGCATTTCCAAATCCGGATCATTTTGATCCAGATTAAATGTTTTGAACAACTGGCCCAATATTCCTAAGTAATTCCCATTTAAGGCATATATAGATATAAAATAAGGAAATTCAAGCATTAGAACCTGTTCTAGTAGAGCCCAAATCAAAACTTTGAAAAAAAAGAGAGCATGATAGCTTTTAAAAAATACTGCACACGTTCATGTCATAATTTTGGAGTATCATTAACATTTTGATTAACGTTTTTGAGTAAATGCTAATTTTTCTCATCACATGGGATTGTCGTTGCCGTTGTTGTCCAGGGAGTTTCCGATGCGAATCTCGGCTCCAGTGATCCGTCCTGGACAGCAGTCGATACGATTAGTGACGGACACTTTTGCAATGTTTTTCAAGCCTGTTAGATCCAGCCTCCACCATGGAGCAGTCTCGGTGTTGGTGTGGGTACAGGACGTATCCGAATTATCAATCGCAACATCAGGACTGTGGTAATATGTGGATGAGTGTACAGCTCTTCCCTTGATTGCAATATTCTCTAAAAAGGGTTACGAAAATACAAAAAAAACCCATTTAATTTGATGTGCTCTGTAATCAGAGCATGACTTTCTCAGTTATCTACACTGAACTGGTTTCATCCAAGAACAATTTTCATTTAAATATTAAAAAAAGAGTTACCTTGCAAGTTATCTGTCCAGGCATGAATGGCAACAATGCCTGTTTGCCAAAATAAATAGCAAATGGTTATAAATCTGGAATAATTTCATGGTAAAGCATGACAATGTACCTCGCCGTTTCAAGCAGCTGTTTTATTTATTTTCTCTCAAATTCTGATTCGCTGTTTTAATGTCCGGTCTAGACACAGTGTTATGACGTAAAAGAGAAATTTTACTTTTATAAGTAGTTTTGAAACCAGTACTTTTACACGTTTACTTGAATAAAAAGCTTGACTTTTGACCTCTGTTCTCAACACTGTGATTTATACATGGCCATATTATTGCTAAAAGCCAAACCCATGCAGTTGAGGTTACGGATCAACTAATGCAAATTAATTAATTTGCTTAAAACTTAATGGAAAAAGGGATGCATTTACATATCAAACAACAGTGGCGCAACCAACATTGAAATCAGAAAACACTGTGACTTATGATTGTGTGACTTGCATTTTTAAACACTCAAACAACAGCATAATTAGTTGCTAATTATTTAAATGGTTAGTTGCAAGTGGTTAGCACTTGTCCATTTGAGAGAAGACTTGGTCCCCCTTTATGTTAAGTGGATTTAAGTACTATGTACTTAAATTGAAATTAATTTTTTGATACAACTTCAAATTATTGTGTTCATACATGTTTTTTTACATTGTACTTATATTAAAATACCTGCATGTAATTACAGCTAACACTTGTTCACCCATCACTTACACCTTAACCCACCCTTAAATCTACCCATACAAAAGTGTTTTACAATACAACACTTATTTTTCGATGTAAGAACTTTTTCATAGTAAATATCAGCTATTATTTTGTACAAAAGAAGTGAGAGATCCTTACCGAGAAGTGAAAACAGGAGTCTGAGCATCCACATCTCTTCATGAGGACTACAAACTGAGACGAAGATCACATGAAATAAAAGAGAGGATGATTACTGGTCTATATTTCCATCATGCATGATGTAGAAAGGACATGACCTACCTCCGTTTGATGATGTTTTTCTTGACAACCTCTCTCTTCTACTCTCCTCACCCTTTTTTATTTTTATCTTGTCTTCTTTAAACCCCGCCCCTTTAAATCCTCGCTGCTTTGATTGGTTGTTGGTGGGTTTTGTTTGCATTGTGTTTAAATTAGGGTTGTTAAGCGATTATTTACACATGATTTGTAGCCTATTAATCACACATCAGTTTTGCAGAGAAATTACCCAAAATATATTTTGAAGTCTTTCTTTTGTCATTCAATTCACATTTATTTGTATAGTGCTTTTCACAACTCATACTTTTTCAAAGCAGCTTTACAGAAATTGTGTCATTGAGTGATCTGTTATCTGTGTCCAAGTTGTGTCCTGTATACAAATCACACATTAAGCTAAAAATGTATTAATTTACACCATGTGTTAATTTAAGGCAGAAACAACTAAACCGAGTGAGGCTGAACCAGGGTGAACGGGGTATCCAACCCGATCTCACGACCAAGTCGTACGAATTCGGCGAATGATTAAAAAGTGGCTAATTCGTAACAATTCATACGAACTCACTCGTACGAATTAATACGATTTTGCTAAATCGTACATATTTTACGAATTGGCCAATTCGTATGAATTCGTACCCTGACCCCGCCCCTAAACCTAACCATCACGTGGGTTTAGACAAATCGTACGAATTAGTACGAGTGAGGTCGTACAAATTAGCCACTTTTTAATCATGCGTCGAATTCGTACGAATTGGTCGTGAGATAGTGTTGGGGTATCCGACGAAAAAGAGAGGCCGACGGGACCAGGCCAAGAAGCCCAATGTGGAGCTGCTGTTTCGTGGCGGCGGGACTGAGGCGGACACTAGGGCCATGTCCACACTAATACGTTTTCGTTTGAAAACGTATATTTTTCTCTCCGTTTTGGCCTTCCATCGACACTGAGACGCCGTTTTAAGTCAACAAAAACGTATCGTTTGGAAAACGCTCTCCAAAGTGGATAAATTTGAAAACGCCGTTTTCGCGTTGCAGTGTGGACAGTGAAACCGGAGGTATTTCAAAAACGATGACGTAAGTTTAGTCATGTGATCCATGTAGTACCAATAGATATTCATGTTTATCGGTATTGTGCCATGTTATTCATTTTTACACTGTTGCTAAAATATGTTACTTTCTATGTTACTTAATATGTGCTATTCTTCATAGCACAGTACTGCAAAGATGGCAGATAATGTAGCTTACTCACATTTGCTGTCCTGCGGCAAAACAGACCTGCTGTCCTTGCGTTTTTGACTATAGTGGCTCAATCTTAACTTTATCAAACGACGAGAACACTTTTTGTGCGCAAAAATAACGACTTTATTTCAACTATTGGTTTATTTCTCCCTCTGCGCGAGTCAGGTTACTAGTTTAATAGCGTAAGCTTCTGTTATTGTACGTCACACGCATCATCACACACATGACCAGCGTCGGCCAATAGTGAGCCTTCGTGTGACGTAGCTTTACGCAATCACACTACGTTAACTGACTACAGGCCCATGGAGAAGGAAGTGAATAGTTGAAATAAAGTCGTTATTTTTGTTTGTTTTTGCGCACAAAAAGTGTTCTCGTCGTTTGATAAAGTTAAGATTGAGCCCCTGTAGTCACTTGGACTATTTTAACGATGTCTTTAATGACTTTTTGAGTCATTCCCTCAAGAAGCCTATGGACTAGTATGCAGGAGCGATCTTAATATCTTAAATATCTTAATTTGTGTTGCGAAGATGAACGAAGGTCTTACGGGGTTGGAACAACATGAGGGTGAGTAAATATATTTTTGGGTGAACTAACCCTTTAATTTCTTTTCGACTGAAGAAAGAAAGACATGGACATCTTTGATGACATGGCGGTGAGTAAATTATCAGCAAACGTTTTTTTTTTTCTCAAAGTGAACTACTCCTTTAAGTGAAATTGGACAAAATGTCCCATCATACAGGATACTTATGCAAATGTGGATGAGTATTAGTCTCTAGGCCCAATTTTAGATGCAAAAGGTGTTCATTTGTAAAGCAAACACTGTCGTGACTCTGATATCATTGAAATTCTTCAAAGCACTATGACATTGTGTCCTTTTTTGTTTGTTTTGGCACAGATGTCATGCCGATTTAGGAGAAGTCATGGACATCAATTGCAATCGCATTTGGCGCTGCTTATTAAACACTGCAGATTTAAGCTTTCATTTTGTCTGTTATCTGTACTAATTAAATCAGATCCACGTTTGTTTTGTCTCTCATTCTTACTGAAGTTTGTCTAGAACAACTTGACAGCTGTCTTCTTTATGAACCGAATAATTCAAAGAGTTCGCACACTGTGAAAAATAATTTCAAGATTTGTTATCACAACATATTTTCTTTTGTCAAATCAACTTTATAATCATTTATTTAGTTGAGATAACTTATTATTTTGAGTTTCTGATTAATCTACTTCATTGCATTAACTCACTTTTTCCAGTTCAGTAGCAACTGTTCAATCCTGTTAATCAGTGTTCCTTAATTCCTGCCCTGCCCGTCTAGTTCCAACCCTAATGAAACACCTGAACAAGCGAGTCAATGTCTTCAGAGTCACTAAAAAAATGCTGCGAGGTGAGTTTGATCGGGGTGTGCGAGAATAACCTTTCCCGAGAGTGACCCGCCAGAGCAGTATTTGAGGAACTATAAAAATAATAATAAACTTTATTTTATATAGCGCCTTTAAAAGTTATATCTCTCAGAGACGTATAGAAAAGATACTTTAAGTGAAATAAAAATATAAACTAAATAAATAGTCATTCAATCCAAAATCATTAGAAAGACATTGAGAAAAAAATATAACAAAAAAAAATATTCACATATATGCTAGCCAGAAAAAAAAAAAAAAACATTTTAAGAGAAGACTTAAAAACACTGAAATATTCTCCGTGTCTAATCTCAGTGGGGAGAGAATTCCAGACTTTTGGTCTGAAAGAAGAAAAAGCCGGTCCCCCGTCGAGCGTAAACTAGTAGTGGGACTAAAACCTGAATCAGAAGAGCGGAGATCACACCCTGGTGTGTAGACAGTTCAACGTTCAGACAGGTATTCTGGTGACAAATCATGCAGGGCCTTGAGGGTTAAGCATGAGAATTTTTAAATCCCAAATCCCCTTATGAAAACCCCAAATTCAAAATTAGAATATTGTGAAAAAATGTTCTGTAAGCCACAATCATCTAAATTATAACACATATATGGCTTGGAATGTCTTACTTTGCATGTAATGAGTCTATAAAATACAGTAGTTTCACCTTTAAAGTTGAATTACTGAAATAAATCAACTTTTCGGTTTCAGTTTATTATCCCACACTCTCAGAAAAAAAGGTACAAAAGCTGTCACTGGGGCGGTACCTTTTCAAAAAGGTACACTTTTGTACCTAAAGGGTGCATATTGGTACCTTCATGGTACATATTTGTACAATTATGGTACCAATATGCACCTTTTAGGTACAAAAGTGTACCATGAAGGTATCAATATGCACCCTTTAGGTACAAAAGTGTAAGGTACACTATTGTACCTAAAGGGTGCATATTTGAAAAGGTACCGCCCCAGTGACAGCTTTTGTACCTTTTTTTTCTGACAGTGCATAAGGGAAACTTGTCTTGCAGGCAGGTAAACATACAGGTCACACAACAGGTAAACACCACAACAACACAAACTACTAATTTAAAAAATTATTATTCGATTACTCATCTATGTCATAGAATTATGCAAATTTAGCAACCGAATTGCACTTGGCATAAAAGAGTAAATCTCCGACCTGAGGGGAGTACCTCAAAAGAACAATGTAGGGGACGATTTACACAGTCCAATATGACATCTGCTTTCCTCTTAACCAACGCATTCTCATCCTAGGGCGTCATCATGCGTCTAAATCCGACGCACATGGCAACCTGACACGGGTAGGTTTAGGTCTGGGGTAGGGTTAGGGTTAGACTAAACATATTTAGATATATCGAAAACGTCATCCATTGCGATTTCCTGTATATCTAAATATGTTTATTGAAAGTTAAAACTTCTGAAATCTCCTTGTAAACAATGCGTGATGTAGACGCGCGAGAGATCACTTCCGGCGTACCGTTGGACACGGTACAGTTCGGTTCAGTTGGACCAGTAATTCCATCTGGTCCTGGACTCGATATTGAAATTCGTTGAGTTTTTGCTATGTTTAAAACATTAAAATCAAGAAAAAAGAGTTGGCAAGACATCACAGTGTGGTTTCAGCCTCATTTCCCTTATGCAAATTGAGTTTATATCATCTTTAAAATGAATGGGATATTCAAGGTAAAATATTTATAATGCAGTGACCCAACAGAGTACTAAAATAATGAATCATGTAAAAACAAATGTTTGGCCTAGTTTTGTTCATGGTTTTTGATCATGATTGCATATCACACACTTAATATAAAAGTGTATAAAATTAGTGGCAAAATTGTGTGGAGGCTTTTACCAACAATATGGGAGGTGTTTCTCCATTTCTGTTGAGTCTGTTTAGTTTACTACCCTACCCACTGAGCAAAATGATGTCCAAAAGACGTCTTTTCAATGTCTTTGTCACAAAAGTCGGACGTTGAAAAGACGTCCACTGAGGGGCCGGAATGAAAGTTTTTATGACGTCTTTTTTGACGTGTTCTGGACGTCTGATGTAGACGTTAATGGATCCTTCGTACAAGGTTAAAAACTAGTTCAAATGTGGCCATTTTCAACATTATTTATGGTCTCATTTAGACAATTTATACTGTTTCTTGACCAAATAAACACTCTCAGAATGCATTAAATTAAAACTCATGTTTATTTCAATGTAATTTCCTTACATTGTTTAGATGGTGATATTTGTTTCATTTTAAGTCACCATTGTGGAGATCATTGTTTGCTTTAGTTGGGCTCTTGGTCCCAATAATTCATACTCTAGCTTTTCTTTGGCTGTTTATGTGTGTTTGAAAAACACCATTGTTGTGACAAAGAAAGCCAAGAAATTGTAAAATTGTCTCTGATCAGCTTGATGTTGTTGTTGATGATGATGATGATGATGATGAAATCAATATAAAGTGGGCATTTAACGTTGTGTCAAGACTTTTGTAATTGTATCTTGAGTTTATAACCACCAACCTTGTGGAACTGCACTATTTGGGCCAGTAGCATGGAAGTGGGACAAAAGGCAATTTTACACAATGTTTTGAGAAAATGTACCATGTAGTCACACACAGATATAAAGATTTTGCATAAGATTCACAAAAATGGTGACAATAGCTAAAAAAAAAAAGCTTCATGCTGCAATGCATAATGGGTAGCTTTCATAGTTCAAAACATAGTTCATAGTTTCATAGTTTTTGTTTTGGTTGTCACCGTCGTTGAGAATCATATCCAAAATCTTGATACCTGTGTGTGACTACGTGATTCAATTTCTTGAAACATACTGTATGCAGTGATCATTATAAAATTAATGGTCCAAATAATGCAGTTCCACAAGATGAATACTTATAAAGATCAGATATAAAATCAAAAGTTTAGATGTTGTTTAATGCTTGCATTGTGTTGGTTTTGTCATCATCAACAAACAGCTGGAGGCAGCTATTTTTTATTTTCGTGGCTTTCGCTGCACTAACATTGGTGTTATACAAACACACAGTTACTACAGTCAAAGAAAAGCAAAAGTAAGGTGATCTGGGACCAAGAGCCCAACTAAAGCAAACACTGATCTCCACAATGGTGACTTAAAATGAAACAACTATCACCATCTAAACAATGTAAGGAAATTACATTGAAATAAACATGAGTTTTAATTTAATGCACCCTGAGAGTGTTTATTTGGTCAAGAAACAGTATAAATTGTCTAAATGAGACCATAAATAATGTTGAAAATGGCCACATTTGAACTAGTTTTTAACCTTGTACGAAGGATCCATTAACGTCTACATCAGATGTCCAGAACACTTCAAAAAAAGACGTCATAAAAACTTTCATTCCGGCCCCTCAGTGGACGTCTTTTCAACGTCCGACTTTTGTGACAAAGACGTTGAAAAGACGTCTTTTGGACATCAGTTTGCTCAGTGGGTAACTGTTTGCTTTCAGCATTGTTCTTCTTCTTGGCTGTTTGTATACCCCGGTTAATAAACACTGATAGAGCAAATTTGTTCACTTGAACATGTAAATCACTTTATTAAACATATGTATTTTCTTCAAAAAAATATACAAGTGACTTAAATTAAAACTCACAGGCAATCAATGTTTTGAGGCAGCAGTGCACTTTCATTACAAAATAAATTAAAGACATTTAAAAATAATCCTCTTAAATATTGCTAGACATTTCAGCTACTTGGTGGCTTCACATGTGCGCCGGCCATTACATTAACAGACGATTATCAGCTCGCTCTGTGCAGGAGCTTGATTTTAAGTATCATACAAACACGGACTCTCACAAAAACACACACTCATGCACACACTCTTTCTCACACAGATTAAATAAATGGTGTATATCCCTCTTCCCCATGTTTTCAGATCCTCGCTTCATATTTCCAGAGTCACAATATTGCACGAGTATAAATGTGCTGAATTGCATATACTTTAGTGTTGGGTTCATCAAGCAGTTTAGGAAAGCTAAAGACACGTCCTGGCAGCGTCCTTACAACAGGAGGACTGCAAGGATCCCTGAGAGAACTATTAGAGCAGCTGAAAAAGACAAGAAAAAGAGAATAAATAAATACAGATTACACATGTTCTAATCTCAGGGTACGTTTACACGACAAAGATACGCTTAAAACGGAGAAACGTTTCCTTTGAGTTTTCCGCGTACAGACGACACCCTTGTCAAAACGATCCCCATTCACGCGGATCCGCGAAAACAAATAAAAACCCATGTATTCTGCTGGCAGGCCATTAGGTGGCGATAAAACACTACTGAACACGTAATATTCAAATGCATGACATCATCGGTTTCAGAGACATGGAGACAACATGACATCATGACTTTTGCGTTAACTATATACACATTTTGAGCTATCCGCATGTATGCGTATACGCCGATGTCTGAGCGAAACAAAGCAAAATGTAGATCTACATCTGGGAAGTGATATATTTTTTTTCCTAGGATGGTAGGGGAAGACTATGGAAGCTTGTTTCCGCCATTGAATAAAAAATATAATAAAGAATTGTGACTTTTTATCTTACAATTCTGACTTTTTTTCTCACAATTCTGACTTTTTTTCTCACAATTGCGAGTTTATATCTCACAATTCTGACTTTATTTCTCAGAATTGCGTGATATAAAGTCGCAATTGCGAGTTATAAAGTCAGAATTGTGTGTTATAAAGTCAGAATTGCGAGATATAAAGTCAGAATTGCGTGATATAAAGTCAGAATTGTGAGATATAAAGTCGCAATTCTGAGAAAAAAAGACAGAAGTGTGACTTTTTTTCTCACAATTGCGAGTTTACATCTCGCAATTCTGACTTTATAACACATAATTGCGAGTTTATATGTCGAAATTCTGACATCTTTTCTCAGAATTGTGAGATATAAACTCGCAATTGCGACTTATTAGGCCAATTCTTTTTCCCCCATCAGAAGAGTTTAAATCTCACAATTCTGACTTTATATCATGCAATTCTGACTTTAAAACTCACAATTGCGACTTTATATCACGCAATTCTGACTTTATAACTCGCATTGCGACTTTATATCACGCAATTCTGACTTTATGTCTCGCAATTCTGACTTTATAACTCGCAATTGCGACTTTATATCACGCAATTCGGACTTTTTATCTCGCAATTGCGACTTTATATCACGCAATTCTGACTTTTTATCTCGCAATTCTGACTTTATAACTCGCAATTGCGACTTTATATCACGCAATTCGGACTTTTTATCTCGCAATTGTGAGAAAAAAAGTCAGAATTGTGAGATAAAAAGTCGCAATTATTTATTTTATTTTTTTATTCAGTGGCGGAAACAAGCTTCCATAGAAGACTCATAAATGCTATTAACCCCAGTGACGGGTAGGTTTAGGGACGGGGTCATATATTTACATAGACAGTAATGTAACGTTAAGTCAACGGCGTTCATAAACACGCTGAAAAGCAATTATGCGTGTTGATAGCACGCCAAAAATGAAAATACGAATTGGCGTGTCATACATGCGCCATTTCATGAGATCAGTCTGATTTTGAAAACTTCGCGTTTTAGACACCCAAAATGCCAGTGTCTTGTAAACAAACTGCCAAAACGCTTAAAAAGTTTAACCGGTAGTTGTATACCTAAATTAATATGAATTTAACAACCAAAGAGCAGTCGTTTGTGTTACTCTGTTTAAGTGTTCAACGTAGATCCAATCGACGTCCAGCTCCACCTCTGTGGATCAAATGGGTGGAGCTTGACCTAGTTATGTTTAGGGATAGGGCGTGGCTGATCATTCAAGCCCCACCCATTACATCCAAAGGGGCGGACCTAGCTGACAAGCTCCACTTATCGGCTCTGAAGTGAGTAGCCTCTGATGTGGCAGAATCAAGTCCTTACCCTGAGATGCCGCATGCTGCAGTGCCACGCTCCCTCCTGTAGTAGGATTTCTTGTAGTGGTTGTAATAGTACCGGTTGTAATAGTAGAAGCCGTGGTAGCATTAGAGGCTGTATTTGTAGTGGTTGTTATTCCAACATCTGAGCTGTTCTTGTTGCTCAGATCAACTGCCTCATTTGTAACCATTCGTGTGACGGGAGACCCCAAAGTGCCTGAAGAAAAGGAAATAAAGAAAATGTTTACATTTTGTAACTAATTGCATTCTCTTTCAGTATTTCAATAACAGCGTCGCTCTCACCGTTTGTAAAGTTGCCCGTGAAGAAGAAGAGAAAAGCGGATGCGTTTGCCACACGGGTGTTGCTCTTGAGACCTTCGGCTATAAAAATGCACTGAATCTTTGTGTTTTTCACAGAGCCACGGAAAGATCCAGGACTGAACTGCAAGACAAAAAAATGGTAGAATTAGAAAAAATGTAGGGTTCAAAGCGAGTTGAGTTCCCCTCCACCTCAAAGCGTCCATCTCCACTCTGAGTTTCTCTTTTTTGCTCACTGCTGTCTAATACATTTGCACCTATACTGTTCCACTGTATAGTTATTTCAGAGTGCTTCCCTGTTGTTGTTTATTACCATGTAATTTACAGCCAAGAATCATCTTTGCAAACCTTGATGGAGCTTTTAGAAACAGAAATCTGTGAAAGAAGCCTTACTGTGTTATCCGGAGTCAGGATGCCGTTGTTCAGTGTGGATCGGATGAACTTCGCTACACCATTGTTGTTGGCGCAAGAATAGACGGTGTCACCATCACCCTATGAGAAGCAACGGTAAATAAGTCAGAGAACCCAAATCTCAGACTTGGTGCTTTGAAAACACATTCTAACAAATGTGATTTTTAAATGTAGACATGCGAACTAAATACAATCTTATACAGACCTCCTTCTTGTCTTGAGACAAGCCAACTGCAATGTAACCATTGGACTCCCCGCTGATCTCGAAAGTGAGATTGCTTGAGCTTCCGTTCACCCCTCTTGTGGAGGCGAAAATGCAGCTATTGGCAGTAGATGATGGATCACAGCTGGCTGGAGTGGAGAAACATGCCCTGTCCGTTTTACAGTTCTGACTGGTGACTGTATCCTGCAATGTTAAAATCACACAAGCCATGAAATGCAGTGCTATTTTTTTAATCTGCTGAGAATGTTAAAATGCCTAAAATCTAAAGTAAATTCAAGAGTTTAACTTAAAAATTAAATATTATAGCAATGTACCATCACACAATACTGTAGTCAGTACATTATTGACTTTAAATTTAAACACTAAACCTAAATAGATCATCTTAACCAAGAAAAATATAACTGGCTCTTCAGTCTGATCACACTTACAATTGTTGTACCAGTGTTTGCTGTAACGGTAGATCCAGTGTTGTTTGTGTTTGGAGATGCTGTAATGGTAGTTGCAGTGATGTTTGGTGTTGCTGTAACGTTAGATGTAGTGTTGTTTGGTGTTGCTGTAGTGTTGTTTGGTGTTGCTGTAGTGTTGTTTGGTGTTGCTGTAACGTTAGATGCAGTGATGTTTGGTCTTGCTGTAACGTTGGATGCAGTGATGTTTGGTATTGCTGTAACGTTGGATGCAGTGATGTTTGGTCTTGCTGTAACGTTGGATGCAGTGATGTTTGGTATTGCTGTAACGTTAGATGTAGTGTTGTTTGGTGTTGCTGTAGTGTTGTTTGGTGTTGCTGTAACGTTAGATGCAGTGATGTTTGGTATTGCTGTAACGTTAGATGTAGTGTTGTTTGGTGTTGCTGTAGTGTTGTTTGGTGTTGCTGTAACGTTAGATGCAGTGATGTTTGGTATTGCTGTAACGTTAGATGTAGTGTTGTTTGGTGTTGCTGTAGTGTTGTTTGGTGTTGCTGTAGTGTTGTTTGGTGTTGCTGTAGTGTTGTTTGGTGTTGCTGTAGTGTTGTTTGGTGTTGCTGTAGTGTTGTTTGGTGTTTGCTGTAACGTTGGATGCAGTGATGTTTGGTATTGCTGTAACGTTAGATGTAGTGTTGTTTGGTGTTGCTGTAGTGTTGTTTGGTGTTGCTGTAACGTTAGATGCAGTGATGTTTGGTGTTGCTGTAACGTTAGATGTAGTGTTGTTTGGTGTTGCTGTAACGTTAGATGCAGTGATGTTTGGTATTGCTGTAACGTTAGATGTAGTGTTGTTTGGTGTTGCTGTAGTGTTGTTTGGTGTTGCTGTAGTGTTGTTTGGTGTTGCTGTAACGTTGGATGCAGTGATGTTTGGTATTGCTGTAACGTTAGATGTAGTGTTGTTTGGTGTTGCTGTAGTGTTGTTTGGTGTTGCTGTAGTGTTGTTTGGTGTTGCTGTAACGTTAGATGCAGTGATGTTTGGTGTTGCTGTAACGTTAGATGTAGTGTTGTTTGGTGTTGCTGTAGTGTTGTTTGGTGTTGCTGTAGTGTTGTTTGGTGTTGCTGTAGTGTTGTTTGGTGTTGCTGTAACGTTAGATGCAGTGATGTTTGGTATTGCTGTAACGTTAGATGTAGTGTTGTTTGGTGTTGCTGTAGTGATGTTTGGTGTTGCTGTAACGTTAGATGTAGTGTTGTTTGGTGTTGCTGTAGTGTTGTTTGGTGTTGCTGTAGTGTTGTTTGGTGTTGCTGTAACGTTAGATGCAGTGATGTTTGGTGTTGCTGTAACGTTAGATGTAGTGTTGTTTGGTGTTGCTGTAGTGTTGTTTGGTGTTGCTGTAGTGTTGTTTGGTGTTGCTGTAGTGTTGTTTGGTGTTGCTGTAACGTTAGATGCAGTGATGTTTGGTATTGCTGTAACGTTAGATGTAGTGTTGTTTGGTGTTGCTGTAGTGATGTTTGGTGTTGCTGTAACATTAGATGGAGTGATGTTTGGTGTTGCTGTAACATTAGATGGAGTGATGTTTGGTGTTGCTGTAATGTTAGATATAGCAGTGTCATTTGTACTGGGTGTTATGATTGAAACATCTGTGCTGTTAGGGTTGCTCAAGTCCACTGATGCATTTGTGGCCAGTACACTGACTGGAGATTCCAGAGAACCTTGAAAAAGGAAAAGAAGAAAGAAAATGTTTTACTTCTGCTACAAAACGTCTCGGTTACATACGTAACCCTCATTCCCTGAGTACAGGGATCGGAGACGTGTCGTTGGGGAGTTCCTTGACGAATTGGGATCACGCTAGGGAGCCTCATTGCCTTCGAGAGAATTAAAAACGAGCCAATAAAAATTGGCATGCAATCTTTGCATTCCGCAAGCTGCCTACTAGCGCAGATATAAAAAGCGGAAATAAACATTGCATTGACGCTTTTCGCTGAGGAGCCGAACAGCAACATGGCTAAGGGGCGACACGTCTCCGTTCCCTGTACTCAGAGAACGAGGGGTACATACGTAACCGAGACGTTCCCTTTCGTCTTGGGACCTCCAACATGTCATTGGGGAGTTCCCTGACGAATGGGAATCCCTAATAAAACGCCATGGTGCTGGCCCCTTCCAGTGCCTAGCCACGCTTCCCACACAGTTTCAGAATCACGGGAGCTACATTGCTATTCCGCAAGACCCAATCAGTGGACATTGGATAACACTGGGAAAGTACGCTCCCACTTCCCTTCGATTGGGACTACCTCAGGGACTGCCATATGTTTCACTATCCCCCTGGGCTAGTACATATGTGTATTCCAGGCCTTCATCAGGCGGCTGGCTTCTGCAGCGTTCCCATCCCCTTTCTTCGGGTTGGGCACGGGAACTTCCGGGAAGAACAGCACGGCCAGCTCCAAGACACCAATCATCCAGGCGCGAAGGTTCGGGTCCCGGTGGAGGGTTCCAAACAAGCCTGACATTCGCAGCTGCCCATTCTAGCATAGCAGTCATCTCCGGGTCCGGCTCAGCCAGAACCACCACACCCGAAGGGGGTAGTCCCGCCGAGCCATCACCAGATGATGACCGCTCTACCTCTGATGCTGCGATTGACATCAGATCCTCAGGCGGCGCCCCAAAGGAAACAACCGGAACCGCCCGAGGGGACTCCGACCGCTCCACCAGAAGCGCCAATGGCAACGAGCTTGTAGAGGCGTGAGAACCCCGATAGGATCTTTCACCAGTCGAAACATTCTTCATGATAACCCTCATTCACTCACCAACAGGAATCACCAAAGTAGCTGCTTGCTGAACTGAACCAGCAGACAAACTAGATTTGGATTATCTGAAGGGACTGCCCCTTTAAGGGTTCTCAGTCTGGAGCGCAGTATCACGAGAGTCATATTCCCGCAATGAGAACATGACTCATCCACAAACGCACGAGAGGCAGTGTTTGTGGCATCTACCTGAGGAAGAAGTCGACCGCATCCAGAAACGCACGGGTGAGATGACATCCTGAAAAGGACGCGAAACACCCGCGAAGCTCTTTTGTGAGGAAGAGAGCGCGCTTGCGTGCCAAAGAAAGGAGGGATCACAGTGACAGACACACGGGGAAACTGCAAGCCCGTGTGCTGTACTCAACCAGATTTTGCCAGGAGAAACGATGATCACTGCCGCGCCGTCACAGGAGGACCTTCTTCTCTTCCTAAGACTTAGAAATCTTTTCTCCCTCCAACTTCGGCAACAGCAGTTCACTGTGAGGCTCCAAAGAAAAAACTTCCGCTTTTTATATCCACGCTAGTAAGCGGCTCGCAGAATGCAAAGATTGCATGCCAATTTTTATTGGCTCGTTTTTAATTCTCTCAAAGGCAATTAGGCTCCCTAGTGTGATCCCAATTCGTCAGGGAACTCCCAGACGACACGTTGGAGTTCCCAGGACGAAAGGGAACAAAATACATGTCAATCACTTGATCAAAGTGTTGTACTCACCATTGGAGATGCTGCCTTTTACAATAGAGATGAAAGTTTCTGTGGTTACTGCACGGGCGGTGCTGCTGCCGAGACCTGCAGCGGTGAAAATGCATTGAATTGTTCTTCCATTGAGGGAGCCTTTGAAACTTCCAGGGATGAACTGCAACACAACAGAAGTAATGCTAGTTAATATTACACTACTAAGATTGCACACAAACTGCATATGTCGTGTCATACTGTACTGTAAGAGTATTGAAGCCTTCCATGCTTTTATATACTAAATTGTTTTCAGTTAATAATCTCTTATGCTAATATTGCCATATGGTTTTAAAGGCAAGGCTCTCTGAAAAAGAACCTTACTGTGTTATCCGGTGTCAGTATTTGATTGTCCAGTGTGGAACGGATGAACTTCAGTACACCATTGATCTTGGCGCAAGCATAGATGGTGGCACTTTGACCCTAAGGATGTGAAAAGAAAATGAAGATGTCAAAATGAATTTTAAAATTAAACTCTCATATTGATTTAAATAAAACATATAATTTAAAAGCAATTGGATGTGATCTCTTACACTCTTTTCTCGGGATAGGCCAGCTGCGATGTAACCATCTGACTCGCCACTGAGCTCAAAGGTAAAATTATCTGCATTTCCGCTTACTCCTCTTGTGGAGAGGAAATAGCAGGAATCTTGTGCACCTGGATTACAGGTGGGTGGAGCAGAGAAACAAGCCCTATCCTTCCTACAGTTATCCCTGCCAGTAATTTCCTGCAATAAACACAGTCAAATTTAATTTGAACAAAAACATAAATGCAATAACTTGCAAAAGTGCTTTTTGTCCTTTAAAAGAATGTTCACTTTAACAGTCAAAATTGTTATTTCCATTTTTAAACAAAAAAAAAGAGCCTGGCTTACAAGTGGTGGATTATTGATGTTGGTCACGATAGTAGAGCCTGACGATGTAATATTTGTTGCCATGTTGGGAGGGCGGGTCATGGTGATGTTGAGAGGGCTTGTGTAGGTCATGGTCATAGTCATATTGGGAGACTGGGTGATGGTCATGTTCATGGTCATGTTGGGAGAGCGGGTCATGGTCAGGTTGGTGGTGATATTGGGAGGGCTTGTGTGGGTCATGTTCATGGTTATATTGGGAGGGGGGGTCATGATCAGATTGGTGGTGATGTTGGGAGGGCTAGTGTGGGTCATGTTCATGGTCATGTTGGGAGAGTGGGTCATGGTCAGATTGGTGGTGATGTTGGGAGGGCTAGTGTGGGTCATGTTCATGGTCATGTTGGGAGAGTGGGTCATGGTCAGATTGGTGGTGATGTTGGGAGGGCTAGTGTGGGTCATGTTCATGGTCATGTTGGGAGAGCGGGTCATGGTCAGGTTGGTGGTGATATTGGGAGGGCTTGTGTGGGTCATGTTCATGGTTATATTGGGAGGGGGGGTCATGATCAGATTGGTGGTGATGTTGGGAGGGCTAGTGTGGGTCATGTTCATGGTCATGTTGGGAGAGTGGGTCATGGTCAGATTGGTGGTGATGTTGGGAGGGCTAGTGTGGGTCATGTTCATGGTCATGTTGGGAGAGTGGGTCATGGTCAGGTTGGTGGTGATGTTGGGAGGGCTTGTGTGGGTCATATTCATGGTTATATTGGGAGGGGGGGTCATGATCAGATTGGTGGTGATGTTGGGAGGGCTAGTGTGGGTCATGTTCATGGTTATATTGGGAGGAGGGGTCATTGTCAGGTTGGTGGTGATGTTGAGAGGGCTTGTGTGGGTCATATTCATGGTTATATTGGGAGGGGGGGTCATGATCAGATTGGTGGTGATGTTGGGAGGGCTAGTGTGGGTCATGTTCATTGTCATGTTGGGAGAGTGGGTCATTGTCAGGTTGGTGGTGATGTTGGGAGGGCTTGTGTGGGTCATGTTCATGGTTATATTGGGAGGGGGGGTCATGATCAGATTGGTGGTGATGTTGGGAGGGCTTGTGTGGGTCATATTCATGGTCATGTTGGGAGATGCAGTGATGTTTGGTGTTGCTGTAACGTTAGATGTAGTGTTGTTTGGTGTTGCTGTAATGTTAGATGGAGTGATGTTTGGTGTTGCTGTAATGTTAGATATAGCAGTGTCATTTGTACTGGGTGTTATGGTTGAAACATCTGTGCTGTTAGGGTTGCTTAAGTCCACTGATGCATTTGTGGCCAGTACACTGACTGGAGATTCCAGAGAACCTGGAAAAGAGGAAAGGAGGAAAGAAAATGTTTTACTTCTGCTAAAAAAAACAAAATATATGTCAATCACTTGATCAAAGTGTTGTACTCACCATTGGAGATGCTGCCTTTTACAACAGAGATGAAAGTTTCCGTGGTTACTGCACGGGCGGTGCTGCTGCCGAGACCTGCAGCGGTGAAAATGCATTGAATTGTTCTTCCATTGAGGGAGCCTTTGAAACTTCCAGGGATGAACTGCAACACAACAGAAGTAATGCTACTTAATATTACACTACTAAGATTGCACATGTAACGGAGGCCAGCTAGTAGTTGCTGTGCAAGTAAACCTCACTCCCCAATCTCAATAGGAGCTCTAGCGACAGATGCTAGAGGCTGCAGTCTTTAGCCTCCTTGTTAGAGCGCCCGACTCTCACGCCGGAGACCCGGGTTCGAGGCCCGTTCGGAGCGGGGCGAGTAGGACCCGGGTGGAAGGGTTACACACACAAACTGCATATGAGGTGTCATACTGTGCTGTAAGAGTATTTTTTAATTGGTTTCAATGCATTATTGCATCACATATTTTGAGACCTGTGTGAATAGTACTAGAATTGGGATTTTCCTTGAAGCCTTCCATGCTTTTATATACTACATTATTTTCAGTTAATAATCTCTTATGCTAATATTGCCATATGTTTTTAAAGGCAAGGCTCTCTGAAAAAGTGCCTTACTGTGTTATCCGGTGTCAGTATTTGATTGTCCAGTGTGGAACGAATGAACTTCAGCACACCATTGATCTTGGCGCAAGCATAGATGGTGGCACTTTGACCCTAAGGATGTGAAAAGAAATTGAAGATGTCAAAACGAAGTTTGAGATTAAAGTATTATATTTATTTAAATAAAACATGATTTAAAAACAACTGGATGTGATCTCTTACACTCTTTTCTCGGGATAGGCCAGCTGCGATGTAACCATCTGACTCGCCACTGAGCTCAAAGGTAAAATTATCTGCATTTCCGCTTACTCCTCTTGTGGAGAGGAAATAGCAGGAATCTTGTGCACCTGGATTACAGGTGGGTGGAGCAGAGAAACAAGCCCTATCCTTCCTACAGTTATCCCTGCCAGTAATTTCCTGCAATAAACACAGTCAAATTTAATTTGAACAAAAACATAAATGCAATAACTTGCAAAAGTGCTTTTTGTCCTTTAAAAAGAATGTTCACTTTAACAGTCAAAATTGTTATTTCCATTTTTAAAGAAAAAAAACCTGGCTTACTATTGGTTGATTATTGATGTTGGTCACGATAGTAGAGCCTGACGATGTAATATTGGTTGCCATGTTGGGAGGGCTGGTCATGGTGATGTTGTTAGGGCTTGTGTGGGTCATGTTCATGATGTTCGGAGGGCTTGAGTGGGTCATGTTCATGGTTATATTGGGAGGGGGGGTCATGATCAGATTGGTGGTGATGTTGGCAGGGCTAGTGTGGGTCATGTTCATGGTTATATTGGGAGGCGGGGTCATGATCAGATTGGTGGTGATGTTGGCAGGGCTAGTGTGGGTCATGTTCATGGTTATATTGGGAGGGGGGGTCATGATCAGATTGGTGGTGATGTTGGCAGGGCTAGTGTGGGTCATGTTCATGGTTATATTGGGAGGGGGGGTCATGATCAGATTGGTGGTGATGTTGGCAGGGCTTGTGTGGGTCATGTTCATGGTTATATTGGGAGGGGGGGTCATGATCAGATTGGTGGTGATGTTGGCAGGGCTAGTGTGGGTCATGTTCATGGTTATATTGGGAGGGGGGGTCATGATCAGATTGGTGGTGATGTTGGCAGGGCTAGTGTGGGTCATGTTCATGGTTATATTGGGAGGGGGGTCATGATCAGATTGGTGGTGATGTTGGCAGGGCTAGTGTGGGTCATGTTCATGGTTATATTGGGAGGGGGGTCATGATCAGATTGGTGGTGATGTTGGCAGAGCTTGTGTGGGTCATGTTCATGGTTATATTGGGAGGGGGGGTCATGATCAGATTGGTGGTGATGTTGGCAGGGCTAGTGTGGGTCATGTTCATGGTTATATTGGGAGGGGGGGTCATGATCAGATTGGTGGTGATGTTGGAGGGCTTGTGTGGGTCATGTTCATGGTTATATTGGGAGGGGGGTCATGATCAGATTGGTGGTGATGTTGGCAGGGCTAGTGTGGGTCATGTTCATGGTTATATTGGGAGGGGGGGTCATGATCAGATTGGTGGTGATGTTGGCAGGGCTAGTGTGGGTCATGTTCATGGTTATATTGGGAGGGGGGGTCATGATCAGATTGGTGGTGATGTTAGGAGGGCTTGTGTGGGTCATGTTCGTGGTTATATTGGGAGGAGGGGTCATGATCAGATTGGTGGTGATGTTGGCAGGGCTAGTGTGGGTCATGTTCATGGTTATATTGGGAGGGGGGGTCATGATCAGATTGGTGGTGATGTTGGCAGGGCTAGTGTGGGTCATGTTCATGGTTATATTGGGAGGGGGGGTCATGATCAGATTGGTGGTGATGTTGGCAGGGCTTGTGTTGGTCATGTTCATGGTTATATTGGGAGGGGGGGTCATGACCAGATTGGTGGTGATGTTGGCAGGGCTAGTGTGGGTCATGTTCATGGTTATATTGGGAGGGGGGTCATGGTCAGATTGGTGGTGATGTTAGGAGGGCTTGTGTGGGTCATGTTCGTGGTTATATTGGGAGGAGGGGTCATGATCAGATTGGTGGTGATGTTGGCAGGGCTAGTGTGGGTCATGTTCATGGTTATATTGGGAGGAGGGGTCATGATCAGATTGGTGGTGATGTTGGCAGGGCTAGTGTGGGTCATGTTCATGGTTATATTGGGAGGAGGGGTCATGATCAGATTGGTGGTGATGTTGGCAGGGCTAGTGTGGGTCATGTTCATGGTTATATTGGGAGGGGGGGTCATGATCAGATTGGTGGTGATGTTGGCAGGGCTTGTGTGGGTCATGTTGATGGTTATATTGGGAGGGGGGGTCATGACCAGATTGGTGGTGATGTTGGCAGGGCTAGTGTGGGTCATGTTCATGGTTATATTGGGAGGGGGGTCATGATCAGATTGGTGGTGATGTTAGGAGGGCTTGTGTGGGTCATGTTCGTGGTTATATTGGGAGGAGGGGTCATGATCAGATTGGTGGTGATGTTGGCAGGGCTAGTGTGGGTCATGTTCATGGTTATATTGGGAGGAGGGGTCATGATCAGATTGGTGGTGATGTTGGCAGGGCTAGTGTGGGTCATGTTCATGGTTATATTGGGAGGAGGGGTCATGATCAGATTGGTGGTGATGTTGGCAGGGCTAGTGTGGGTCATGTTCATGGTTATATTGGGAGGAGGGGTCATGATCAGATTGGTGGTGATGTTAGGAGGGCTTGTGTGGGTCATGTTCGTGGTTATATTGGGAGGGGGGGTCATGATCAGATTGGTGGTGATGTTAGGAGGGCTTGTGTGGGTCATGTTCGTGGTTATATTGGGAGGGGGGGTCATGATCAGATTGGTGGTGATGTTGGGAGGGCTTGTGTGGGTCATGTTCATGGTTATATTGGGAGCAGGGGTCATGATCAGATTGGTGGTGATGTTGGGAGGGCTTGTGTGGGTCATGTTCATGGTTATATTGGGAGGAGGGGTCATGATCAGGTTGCTTGTAATGTTGAGAGGGCTACTGGTTGTTATATTTGTCCCTTTGACTCCAAACATCATGCATGCCATCCCCAGGATAGCCACATAGATCCATCTTGTCCCCATCTGTGATCTTTATGTATTTATATGTGTTAATCTTGCAGCTTGATTATTATAACCTGTAATTATAAATGAAAAGTAAGTAATTCAGGTTGTATAATCAACAACAAAAAACATAACAAAAAAAGGACAATTTAAAATTTAATTTAAAATTTAATTAACCATTAGTCACAGAGAGATTTTATCTTAAAGACTTCAGTTTATTTCTCCCAATTTACTTTAATATGGTAATAATAACTATATTGCACTTTACCATAAACAATGTAAGCTTAACACTAAAATTTCAGTATTGATTAAAGGGTTCGTTAAATTAAAATTCTGACAGCAATTACTCACCCTCATGTTGTTCCAAAACCGTAAGACTTGCGTCAATTTTCAAAACACTTTGTAATGTTTGTAATTTTTAATGAACATAACATTTGTAATGAATGCAACATCCACCACTTTGATGCTTCAAATAGTTCACAGTGAGATTGTAAAACTAATACACATAGTAATAAAACTAATAATACATATACTAATAATAATACTAATACAATGTCTTTATATGACGAACAGATTAAATTTAGGCGTGTTTTATATTTAAAAATTGATCAGTGAACGTAAACAGAAGCGCAACCGTACTCGCTTTAAACACGAGAACAAGCCTCATTGGTTCTTGCAGAAGCTCAAACTTGTTGCGTAACATACGAGAATCAATCAAGATCTTGATCTTCTGTTTCTGTTGATGAGTGTGATGATATGTGAATAAAAGCCTGAATTCAATCTGTTCATCATATAAAGGGATTTTGTCACTTCAGAAAATTTGGACTAAACTGCTCAATACAAATGGATTAGTTTTACGATCTCTTTATGAACTTTTTGAAGTGTCAAAGTGGTAGTTGCGTAGACTGTCAATGGAGGGACATATCATCAAAAATATCTTCATTTGTGTTCCCAAGATGAACGGAAGTCTTGAGGGTTTGGAACGACACAAGGGTTAGTAGATGATGACAGAATTTTGTTTTTGGGTAAATTAACCCATTTGATCTCAGCAGAGCTTGTTTGTTTAAAGGAACTAAGATGCGATCTTAACTATATTATCCAATCTCAGAAGCTATATGCTTAATTGAGTTGCATATTTAATTAGGGGCCAAGCACCGAAGGTGCGGAGGCACCTATTGTATCTGTTCCCGTTCTTAATATTATTCTTCTGTCGAATGGGCGTCTAAGGCAGCCCATAGAACTGTTTGCGGGAAAGTTGATTTTTTTTGACATTCTTATAGAGGACAGTCCCAACATTAAATACACCAATTTTGGTGTTTATAACTCATTCCCTCTAGCGCCACCACCTGTCCAAAGTTTAACTTTTATTATGCTAATAGCTTTTGAACCGTAAGGCCTGTCAACAAAATTATTTTTTCCTTAGATAAAATCCTTTGATTTCTTAGCTCATTACAATTCGATTGCACCCTATAACGTAATTTTCCATCATATAAAATAGCCGCCATTTTGAATTGTCCAAAAAAACTCGTCCTAGACGGTTTGTCCGATTTTCATAAATCGCACCAGATCATCTCCAGGCAGTGCCGACAAAAAGTTATGGAATTCAAGTTGGTTCACTTAACCGCTTTCGATGAATGGACAAACAAATTTTACGTAGCACTTGCGAAAACAGACGTAAGGCTGTATCTCCGCTTAATTGTATTCAGACCAAACTTGGTACATGTCATCACAAGCATGACCTGAGGCTACATGCTACGATTCGGCACAGCACCACCTACTGGTCCGGAGATTTTTTTTGCTCATAACTTATGAATGGTTTGTCCAAAAGTCATAAAAGTGGTCTTGTTAGACTCAGGGCGTCATGCCGAGTCAACTGATATCCAAATTTTCCCAGATCGGCCATTTTGCTTTATGTGTTAAAATGCTGTATTTTTTGAACACATGAACGAATTGTAATGAAACTCAGCATGGGTCATCAGTACGATGCCCTGAGAAGCCTGAGAACAGCGCCACCTAGTGGTAAAATACAATTTTCAAATGCATATAACTCTGTCTGTGGTTGACTTATTTTCACGAGAGTCATCTTGTTGAGTTCCTGAATCCTTGCCAAGTCCAACGGTGCCAAACATGCTAGGTTTTGTCTTACAGTTTATGTAGCGTTGCGATTTACAGCTTAAAAAAAACATTTGCCGATATCTTTGAAACCGCTAGTCGAATCGAGACGAAACCACCGTCAGAAGTTTGGAAACATAGGTCGCTTTCAAATGTTAGAGCCCAAATGCCAAAATATTGATAGTAAGGGATAATAAAATTCAATCAAAGTCACGTGTCTGTCATTTTTTTACGTGTTTTTCATATCTATGCCTATAACTCCGAAGCGAATTGAGGCATTTTCACCAAATTTGGCACACACACGCATGGTGTGACTGAGCCTCTTGGTGGCGCTATAATAGAACGAAACATTAAATTCCCATTGAATTCAATACAGTTTTGTGATTGAAATGCTATACTTAACAAACGCATTGATGTAACGTTACGAAACTCAGTGTGCGCCATAAGCAGCATGCCCTGAAGGTACTCAAAAGATTTCGAGACAGCGCAACCTGTTGCTCAAAAGTTATAATTCATTTCCGAAAATGCTAGTGGTCTGAAACTCCCAGCCATGTTGGCATGTCTTGTCATCTGCTTTTGTGCTTAGCCCTCTAATGGCTGCATGCAGCTATATTTCTCTCTGAATTTGCACACCAGCCTTACAATATGTATAACACATAGACTTCTGCAACCATTCTATGAAATATTCTGTAAAATGTAATTTATTCCTGTGATCAAAGCTGAATTTTCAGCATCATTTCTCCAGTCAGTGTCACATGATCCTTCAGAAATCATTTTAATATGCAGTTGCTCAAAAAAAATTATTATTATCAATGTTAAAAACAGTTGTGTGATATTTTTTTCAGGATTATTTGATGAATACAAAGAACAGTATATTTGAAGTAGAATCTTTTGTAACATCATACATGTCTTTACAGTAACTTTTGATCAATTTAATTCATCCTTGATGATGAAAGTATTAATTTTTCAAAAAATACCATAAAAATTCTTACTGACACCAAACTTTTGAACAACAGTGTATAATGTTACAAAAACGTTCTATTTCAGATAAATGCTGTTCTATTTATCAAATAATCCTGAGATAAAAATGTAAACTGTTTTCAAAATTGATAATAATCAAGAATGTTTCTTGATCATCATATTAGAGTGATTTCTGAAAAATCATGTGACACTCAAGCCTGGAGCAATGATGCTGAAAATTCAGCTTACATCACAATTACACTTATATATTGAAATAGAAAACAGCTGATTTAAATTGCAATAATATTTCACACTTTTTAATCAATTAAATGCAGCCTTGGTGAGCAGAAGACTTCTTTTAAAAACATTATAATCTTACAGAGTGGCATTGTGTCAAAAATTACAGACATTGATGGATCTTTCAGGATAGACAAAGCCAAAAAAAAAAAAATACAAATAAATACTTAAATTGATTAATTATTGTAATCCAACAAAACAATATACATGTATTCAAAATAATATATTCAATCAATAAAACGTGCAATCTGCTTTAAGAAATTTAAAAGCTAAAGCAGGAAATGATTCAAACTAATTATTTTTGTACATTGCCTTGCCAAATGGAAAGAAGGAAGGATGTCCTGTATCCCGATACTTTAGCTAGCCCATATTTTTTTTATGAATGTAGCTTACTTCGATTATAAAACAGATTTTACACGGACTGTGAACACCGACTGAACTCTGACTCTGCGTTTGTTTAGCATCACATTTATAATCGGCTTCACGCAATTAAGGGTTCCAGCCAACGCTAATATTGGGATCATTTAAAAAAAATAATTAATTCTTATTTTACACAGTGTTATGAATTAAACAGCTCGTAAAGTAATTACTAATGTACCAAAAAAAAAAAAAAAAAAAAAAAAACGTTAATTATACAGTCATTTGAAACATTAGACATGCAACCGTTTCAGCATTAAGGTTTTTAACATTCAGCCAAGAACCCAAGAGTTCTAAATAGAATCCTTATGATTCTAAGAGTGTAGCCAACTTTAAACATACATCGAAGAATCATGACATTTCTAATTTTCGTAATAGCTCATCTGTTAAATCATGATGTAACCCCATTAAAAGTATCTGTCTCTGCAGATTTCATTCACTCATTATGTTCAAAAGAATCATAAAGTGTTTCTTACCCGTATGTAGAAGTTCAGTGAGGTAGCCTAATGATCAGTGATGGAGTGATGGAGGCGTCGAGCTCTTCTAACTTTAATAACTCGCGTGGGGGCGGGACCTGACGCGCTCGACACCGTGACATTATTTTTACTTTAGACTTATTGAACATTCAGACGAGCAAAGCCAATACACATGATGTCTGGAATAGGGAGGAGTGGCATTCAAGAATGCTGAAGTTCATAATCATATTCCGCTTCACGTAAACTCTGATCCTCCGTGACGTGGGGAGAACTGAAAATGCACAACTGTTACCGTCATCACTTAAAGCCATTCGATTGACATGCAGGTTATTAATATTATTTAGAGAAGTAGACTCATACAACTGTTTTTGTCAAAGAGAATGTATGTAGAAGTTACATCGAAGCCAATTTGATATGAATGAGCAATATTTAGCTATTTGTTTTTATTACTTTCTCCGAATTTTAAATAAAATAACTAATAAAGTGAGTTTTTTTTTTCCTCAATTGAGTGTGTAACTCGCCATTTCTTTGTAGTTGTTTGTTAAACTGTTTCTAAATCAAAGTTTTTCGGTAGTGAGTGAGACTGGTATCAAGTGCATGTTAAACAAAGGGTGATGTCTGAGTTGATCTAGTGGTTTCGTCTCATCACTGTCTCTTCTATTGTTGACATATTTACTCAGGGTGAGGTTTAGGCCTTTGCTTAACATTTGGTCCATCAAGATTAACCTTGAGTCGAAATTCTTTAACATTCACGAAACAAGAATTCTGTTCAATTGGTTTAAAAAGGGAATGAGAATGAAATAATTTCACGA